ATCGAAGATGGAAGGCTCTACAAACGATCTTACAATGGCACGCTACTTCGGTGCCTTCATCCAGATGAAGCCGAGGTCGCAATGGAGGAAGTACACAGTGGCACTTGCTCAGCTCACCAGGGACCCTTCTCCATGTCCCGAAGGCTCATTCTCCAGGGCTACTTCTGGCCAACCATGGCCAGGGATTGTGCTGACCTTGCCCGGAGGTGCACCGCATGTCAACATTTCCAGAAAACTCCCGGCAGGCCAGCGGTCAACTATGCCCCCATCAGCACCTCTGTCCCCTTTTCTCGATGGGGGATAGACCTTGTGGGCCCTCTGCCGAGGGGTACCTCCAACAACAGATACATCATCGTGGCCGTCGACTACTTTACCAAGTGGGTGGAGGCTGAACCCCTCGCCAGCATCACAGAGGCGAAGTGCCGTCACTTCGTCCTCAAGAACATCCTCACAAGGTTTGGCATCCCCCAGCAGATCATCTCCGACAATGGGACACAATTTGAGGCAGCCCCCTTCTGTGCCCTTCTGGAGGCATGGGGAATCAAACACACCTTCTCCTCCGTTGCCTACCCTCAAGGCAACGGGCAAGTAGAGAACGCCAACCGGACCTTGCTCGAGGGCCTCAAAAAGAAGCTGGAGGCCGAGGGTGGTGGCTGGGTGGAAGAACTCCACAACATCCTCTGGGCCTATCGCACCACCCCTCGGCGAGCAACAGGTGAAACACCCTTCTCCCTCTGCTACGGTTTTGAAGCCAAAGCTCCTACGGAAGTCACCCTTCCCACCCGAAGGGTGATCCAATATGACCCCGAGGTCAACGACAGCAACATGGCCCTCGACCTCCACCTCATTTCAGAACGCCGGGAGCAGGCCTTCATCCGGGCAGAAAACTACCGAAGGCAAGTTAAAAGCTACATCGACGCCAAAGTTCGCACCCGAGAATTTCAAGTGGGGGACTATGTCCTCCGGAGGAGGGAAGCCAGCCAACCAACCGAGGGAGGAAAAATGGCACCAAAATTCGAAGGCCCCTACATCATAGTAGCCATCATCAAACCTGGGACCTACAAGCTCAAACGCCCCAACGGGAAAGAAGTCCCTAGGCATTGGAATGTACACCATTTAGTTAAGTTTTATCAATAATGTAAGAGTGGCCAAGCCCTCATAACTAGTGAATGTACTATCCTATGGCCCAATGCCTCCAATTTCGAAGAATGAAGATACATTCAAGACATCAAGCCCTCATACTGACTACAGGCCCCCGGCCTCACCACGAGAGGAACCCCCTCCGGCACCAAGTGCCGAGGGCGGACACCATCGACACCTGCAACAACAGTGAAAACACCACATGTTTTCTCTCAAGACCCCTCGGTACCAAGTACCGAGGGAGGGAACTCCTGTCACCAACAACAAAGAACGCCATGTAATTCATTTCCCTTCGGCACCCAGTACCGAGGGTACATCCCCGCCCCTTCAACATCAAAAAAGAAAAAGATGAGAACACCAAGTGTTCCTATAGAAGACCCTTCGGCACCCAGTACCGAGGGTACACCTCCATCATCAAACATCGAAACGAAGAAAAAAAAAACACCAAATGTTTCAAAGAAGACCCCTCGGCACCCAGTGCCAGGGATATGCTCTCCTATCAACTTCCAACATCTGTTGGGAAACACCAAGTGTTTCATTTGGAGACCCTTCGGTACTAAGTACCGAGGGTAGACGCCTACATCAACTACAACAAAAGAGAACACCAAGTGTTCCTACAGAAGACCCCTCGGTACCAAGTACCGGGGGCTACACATCGAAACTAACACCAAGTGTTGTTTCTAAAAGCCGTACCCCACGAGGACGCATATACCGAAGGCGCCACCATCGGTGCCGGCGGCATGTAGTGCCCCCGGCCATTTGCAACTAGTGTGCAAATGAAAACCCTTCCTTGAAACGCTTTCCGCGTCACTACCCCCAGGGTATGACAGGCATGAGAAATGTCCAGGATTCGACTTTCAAAAACGGAACGCTATCCGCGTCACTACCCCCAGGGTATGACAGGCATGAGAAATGCCCAGGATTCGACTTCCAAACCGAAACGCTCCCCGCGCCACCACCCCAAGGGTGTGGCAGGCCACGGACTATGTCTAGCGCCGAGGGGACGACTTTCAAAAATGAGGCGCTTTCCGCGCCATCCCCCAAGGGGAGGCAGGTTACGGACCACCATATCTTGTGCCCAGGAAACGTCCCTCGATCCCCTCGGAACTCGGAAGGTTAACCCGAGGGAGGAGAGCCATTGGTGTATTCTGATGGTCTCCTAATAGGCCCAGCCTTACCAAGAAACCAAGTTTCTTGATGCCTTCCCTTCACCACCAACCAAAAAAAAAGGGGTGAAGGGGAGTAGACTCAGCGAGAAATCAAAGAGTACACTCCAACATATCACAGCATGCCGAGGGCTTCCCACGTGAACACCTCCGGTAATTGAAGGCTCCTATTTCCCGAAGGATACTACTCAAACAAATATCATCAAGAAACGGCTAAGTCCACTGCCTGGTCACCTCCGGTCACACAAGCACCGAAGGCTTCAACAATACCAATGGACTATCCAAAGCCCCCTAAACGGTACTACAAACACCGAAGGCATCTGTTATGCATTAATACCGAGGGCCCCTACCCCGTTACAAGGGACACAACTGGCTGAGTCAAACTCTACAACTCTTCAGAGTGTATGCCGAGGGCACACACTCATCATTGGCTTTCTTCACAACAACGGGATTCCACACTTTTCCTAAGTCCACATTTTGGAAAATGACGGCAACCGGAGGCTAATATATCACCAGACAACCGAAGGCATATATTACAAATCATCAAAAATGAACCGAGGGGGACTACTCCAAAATATTTGCCCCCCGAACAGACTCCTCACTGACCGAAGGTCCAACATCTACGACACACTGTGAAATTTTGCTAAAGTTCCACGTATTTGGCCCTCGATCAAATGCTCTTACAACTCGAGGGGCCCACGATCACCCGAAGGGTCCCGTTCATATATCCGGAGGGCTCTACACCTGGAAGCTTGACATCACTTTACGCTTGCAAAAAAATTCTAAGTCCTAAAATTGGGCCCCCGGCTCAATCAATATTACAGCCAAGGGAATACAATAGCCGAAGGCTATGCGATACAACAACACTTGCAAAAAAAAAATTCTAAGTCCTAAAGATGGGCCCCCGGCTCAATCAGTATTGCAGCTAGAGGAATATGACAGTCGAAGGCCATACATCAAGAAGGGATGCCATCTCCCGAAGGCTCCCAAGGGAAAATCCACACTTAGAATATTTTCTAAGTCCCACATGTTTTTCCCCGGTCAACTGCTCATACGTCAAGGAGGGATGCCATCTCCCGAAGGCTCCCAAGGGAAACTCTACACTTAGAAGATTTTCTAAATCCTACATATTTCACCCTCATCTTATGGAGGGACCCAACAGCCGAAGGCTACCTATCAATCGAGGGCTACAATACACAAGGAATCAACACTGAAGAGAATTTTCTAAGTCCTAAAGAATTGGCCCCCGGCCTAACCAATATTTCAGTTGGGGCTCCACAGTAGCCGAAGGCTACATGACATGCTACACTTGCAAAGATTTTCTAAGTCCTGAACATTGGACCCTCGGTCCAATATTCACACATCATAGGGTGCCCGACTACCGAAGGCTTCCAAGGGCAAGCTACAATCAGAAAATACTCCAAGTCCTAAAACATACATTCAAATGAAAACGGAGGCATACATTCAAGAAGAAAGGAATTGGAGAAAACAAGTCATATAAACACAGCCCGACGACAATCATTCAATCATCAACAAACAGAGGGCAAATGTAATTACGAATAAATGTTACAAGCAGGCCGAAGCCGAAGGATGAATAATGTCACCATTACAAATACATGTTTACATAATACAAAATGCATATCAAACAATGTCATTCCCGGGGGCTGCCTCCCCCGATGGCTTCGAGGTGACTTCCGCGTCGGCCTCAGGTTCGTCGCCCTCGGCTTCCTTCATGAGCTCAGAGTCCTCCAGGTCTGGCCTCTCAACATCGGGGGGAAGAGGAACGCGGATGTCTGGCTGCAGGGGGGAGCCCGTATGCTGCTGGGTCAAAGTCCTTTGGCTCGATCTTCAAGTGGCGAGCCATCCTCCGGTAGATGAGGGCTTGAGTGAAAAACTCGCCCCCATCATAGTATTGTTTACCCTTTCGGGAAACCCACTCCACGCCAGGTCCATCACACCACTCGTCGACCGAGGACTCGACGACCGAGGACAGCCATTGCTTGTGCTCCTCGGATCGCCACCCCCCTGCCAAGAACCCCGAGATTGCGTCCCCTCGGGCTCTCTCGACGGCTTCCACCCTCGCGGCCTCGGTTTCCTTGACAGCTCTCTCCAAGGCCTCAGCTGCGGACCTCTCGGCTTCTGCCCTGCCCCGATCTGCGGCCTCCGCCCGCAGGGTCATCTGCCGAAGGCTCTCCTCCAGCATAGCCATCTGCCGAACAGCGTCTGCATTCTGGCGGATGAGCTCCCGCATCATGGCCTCCTGCTCGGCCTTGCGAAGGCGCCATTCCTCTAGCCGCCGGGCTTGCTCCCCGAGGGCAATGCAGGTCTACAGAAACAAAGGGTTTAGCGAGGCCAAACATGGTTTCTTAGCTCGAAGTAAAAAAGAAAGAAATAAGCATAAAAGACTTACTGTGAGGGAAGACCGGAGGATCCTGACCTCGAGGGCTTCGTCTTCATCAGCCCCGAGGGCTACTCTGTCAATCTCGAGGGTGATGCCTCTCAGAAGCGCCCTCGGGTCGGCCGTACCGTTCATCACGGCCGTACCAGCCGGGAGGGAAACCATGAGGACCTCGGAAGATGGCCCCTGAACTCCCGACGACACTTTCGCCACCTGCATGTCCTCATTCGCCCCGGAGGCAGGGCCTTCATCAACAATGATCACCGGGGGACTTTCTTCCCGGCATCCCCGGTCTTGGGCTTCTTGCCCTCGGGATCTCTGCCCGAGCCCTTCCTTTTGGCGGCAGCGGCAGCATCAGCACTTGGGCCCACCGACGGCCCCTCCGGTTTTTTGAAGAAGTCACCGGCGGGTTTTGGGACACCGGCGTCCGTCCCCCTCGGGACCTTGGAGGGTTTTTTCTTCTTCAGGTCTGCAAGGCCTCTGACGTTCATCATTTTCACTGGGACACCTGCAAAAAAAAGGTATGGGGTTAAAATCGAGGGGTTACTGACCGAAGGCACAAAGGATAAAAAGAAAAAAAAACACGAACAAGGTAAGCTATGTGCTAAGATATGAAAACCGAGGGACCTCGTAGACTACCTCCTGTTCCCCCGAAGGCCTCAGCAAAAATGGGGTACTTCTCGTCCGCTTCCCCAATAAATCGGTATCTCCGAAAGCCGAGGGCGTAGAATCCCTTGTCGGCAGTATAGTCTTTGATGGAGACCTGCTTTGTGCGACCCTCCGGGATTTTGGCTATCACCAGGCCATCTTTTTCGAGGGCGGCGCTTCCAACCTTCGGATGCCGACGGAAGCGATCCCGAAGTTCCGCCGGAAATGGGTTCTCAGCAACCCTGACATAGCACCAGCGCTCCTTCCAGCCCTTATTGGACGAAGGCGCCTCCGTAAACAACTTCCACCTGGCCACCTGATGCAGGTTGGCGAAGCCCTCGGCATTCGCGTGACCCCCTCGACAGAGGTTGAAGCTCTGGAAGAACAAGTCCAGGCTGGGGGTCACCCCTCGGTCCCTACAAAGGTTTAAAAAAACCCGCCATGTAGGAGTGACTATTGGGTGTCAGCTGGCAGGGTACCAAGCCAACGAACCTCAGGTACTCCCGGAGGAAGGGGTGCAGAGGGAACCGAAGGCCCATGGAGACCGACAGTACGTGTACTGCAATGCACCCCTCAGGTGCCCGAGAGAGCACGTCGTCAACTCCCGGCTCGACCACCACGGCCGAGGGCCCTACATGTAGCTGCGTCACGTAGAGGTCCGCCCTGTCCGCCTTCGACTTTATCTCCAAGGCAGCCGTGTTGAGCCAGGAATACCCCTCCGACATATCTACGGGCTTCCCCTGATCAGCAGCAATAACCTTCTTCTTGGGGGCAGCTGCCTTGGCCTTCTTCTTCCCGGGGGCCACCCGGATGGGAACTGCATTCGGCGGCTGGGAAGTACTGGCCTCACCAGCACCCCGAGGGGAAGGACGGCCACAGTGACCTTCGCCCTCTCCTTTTCCTCCTCCTCTTCAGCAACTTGGACGGCGAGGGCCAACTCTTCATCCTCGGCAGTTCGCTCGAATTCCTCCGCCTCGGCCTCGGCCATCAGATCCTTCTGCACCTCAGTGACGAGGGCTACGTCACCACCATCCGAGGGCTGACCGCTACTGGACTCCACGTCGGAGATGCCTTCGTCCTCCATCGAGGGCGTCCTCGAAATGTCCTGAGAGTCACTCTGGGACGACATTCTAACTCTAGCTCGAGGGTTCGGGGGAACTAAGGTTTCTAGTGAATTCTATCTCCTAACCCGAGGGCACAATGTACAGCTATACTAGAAGGAGAAAGGCAGGGAGCACTGACCTCGAAAGCTGAGTTAGGACCGAAGGCTTGAATTTCTCTCACTAGATTTTTTGGCAGAGCTTCGCTAAGACAACTGGGTTCGCACAGCGGGGAATGGCCCTGGCCTTGGGGTATTTATAGGCGATGGAATCCGGGCTTGGGCCTGGATTCCGGGCCTCCGGATGGACCACCATCATTACACACCGCGTCCTCACCCAACCAGTGATGCCGCCCACGGACAGCCAGCCATCACGCGCCACGTGTTCCCCCCCCCCAACGGCTATATCCTGACGTTACGTATTCCAACGGCTATATTTCCAACGGCTATATTCTGGAAGCCCCGGGTTTTCTACCTCACTCCACTTCATCAAGGATAGCCTCCGGGTGCACTCACTCAGAAGTGCCCCCGGGGTGTGCCCCACACAACACATAACAGGACGCCTTCGGGATCACTCCTTCAGGAACCCAAGGCTTCATATCAGGGCACCCCTCGGGAATTCCCTCTCAGCACTGCAAAACCGGGTAGCCCCCGGGGAGTTGCCTTCATTTACGGATAACCCGTCGCACACAGGTAATGGGAGCCCTCGGGTATCTTCATCACCAACTAATCAATAAACAGTGGACCCCCCGGTAACAACTCCGTTGCCGCCCTCATCCAGCAGGCCCTCGATCCCCGGATTGAGGGGCTCCCCTTCGGCATCCCCAGGATATCAACGGCAAGCCTTCGGCTGATCAATACATGAGCCCTCAGAAAAAGAAGAGCCTTCGACATTACCGTTATTCTCCATTTTTGACCAAGGTTTGACATTTTCGATTCATCATTGTGGGAATTCGGTGCACTCTTTTTCCCTCATTAGGATTTTTTCCCCCAGGGTTTTTCCTAATTAGGTTTTTAACGAGGCATCCCCCCAAAATGAAACGAAAAACGTCAGCCTTCGGCCCACAACAGCAACACAACTACTCTACTCCTTTTCTCCACTTTACAAGTGCCTCAAGGAGTGGGGGACTGGAGGACCCCCTCGGGAAAATCATTAAATTACAAAATTAGTGAAATTCCAACAAACGACAAGGCAAGCCCTCAAGTCCCGACATGTGGGTAACTGAGGGACTGCCTTCGGCAGGGACATAAAAGCAACAACTCCTCACCAACTTCAGAGATCACGACGGGACAACATCAAAAGGCAAGCACAAATTACTCCTTTTCCCTCAAGTACCTTTCGGCAAAAGGAGTGAGGGACTCCTGATGGAGTATATGGCCCGGGAACACCCGGCCCACAGACTCCTACTACTCCTTTAGAGGCCCAACAGGCCCAGAAGGTCCAACAGGCCCAGATCACAGCGCCCAGAGTACCAAGCAGCCCGCACTACGCGCCAGGGGTGCCTTCGGCCCCCTGGCCGAAGGCCCTAAACTCTCACAGGACGGGCTTCGCAAGCAAATTAAGAAACTGGGAGAAAACGGCGAAAAAAGTAGCCCTCGGCACTGTGAGCCCTCGGCACCAGAGTGCCATCAGTTGGAGGAGCCCTCGGCCATTGCTCTATAGCCGAAGGCATCTCACTCGACAAGATATCCGCCTCACATGCGTGCAGATCACCGTACCCTGCACAGACGTCCCATCCAACAGCCGCATTAAATGCGGCCACATGCGGCTGCCAGCGCCAACCAGTTGAGGTGACCCCTCGGCCAATGAGCGCTTGACACGTGTCCCTGTCCGGCATTTATTGCTACTTTAAATAGCACCCCATTTCCTCATTTGTAACCACGCTGAAAACGGCATTCATACTGAATACACTCTCTCTCTACTTTTACTCACTTGCTCTGACTTCTCTCTAAGTTATTCCCCGTAATAACCCTTCGGATATATACCCCCGGGTAGACTATCCATCACGTTGGATAGAGGAAGAGGAGAAGAAAACGAGGAAGGCAATCAGATTTGCGGCGAAGACGAACGGTGGCGATGAGCTACAGTGGAGGCGAAGAGAATTGAAGGCGGTGATGCTACTCACTAACTAAGCACGGTGAAGAAGCTGGTTGCCGTTGATTGGAAGGGAGCAAACGGAGCGGATATGGCTCAGTGACTCTTTAGCGGTGGCGGCTTCTCTTCTGCGGCTTCTGTTGGTCTTCAGTTCCATGGCATGCAGATGCACAAACTTTAGGGTTAGGGTGAATGAAGATGTTAATTTAGAGTTTGGGATGACTTTGGGCTTTTGATTTTGATGTGGGAAGATGCGAATCGAACAGTAGCAGCGAAAGAGTCCAAATTAGTTTTTTGTACGAATGAGTTTTAGGGGGTGTTTGGTTAGGAGCCTATCAGCCACTTTTTGGCTGATTTGACCAACATTTAGCCTTTTGACCAATCAATCAGCTAATTAGGGTGTTTGGTTAAATGGCTTTTACGTTTGGCTTTTACTTTTGGCTTTTTATCTCCAACAACTAAAATATGAAACGCCAATCACTCTAGCGTTTAGGATCGGCTGTTATGATTATTCCTGCGCTACCCCCGTTTCTTTTCCGTACGAGCCTCCTACTCGTTAGAGAAAATCGGTAGAATTGAAAATTGCCCCCCACTCGTAGTGCTTCTTTCTATTACCGGTAGTTCCTAATTTATACAAAGCATTTTTTTGGAATAATGAAATGAAATACAACGGCGAGCAGGCATTTGATTCAATTCATCCTGCTTCATTCATACATATTTCTTTACTTAACACATGTATACATATGCTCAATAGCATTAGTTTCTTGATATGATTTTAATAATAACTCCATTTATTAATCAAAATATCATCACACTAATTAAATCTATCAATTCATGAAAAATGATGTTGAAAATAATTACTATTTGTGTTAGAGTATTTTTTTTTTATTTTTGAAAGGATTAAAATGGTTTAATTAGTTATACTAATTATATTAATAAGAAAATATAGAATCGATGTCCTTAAAAGTCATTTAACAAGTTATCCGCTGATTGTAAACACTCATTTAACCAAACACTATTTTACAAACATCTAATTCTATCAACTAATCAAAACAGCCAACATAATCTGCTATCTTCAATCAGCTAAAAAAATCAGCAACAACCAACAACCAACAGCTAATTGCCAAACACCTCCTTAGTCACATTTTGATGAAGTAAAAGCCTACTATTATTATTCTTGTCATTCTTTCTTTATCATATTCGTTTTTTCTTAATTAAAACTCTAGTTTAAGAGTTAATTTTTATAGACAATTAGCAAATTGTGTTATTCATTTATTGATGAATGGAGCATCAATTTCTTTGTCATTGTGTAGAATAGTTTCATTCCGTCTGGATTTTGTTGTAAAACAATTGGCAAACGACATGGTTAATTAAAAAAGGAAATTTACCTTGATATAATAACAAAAATATTATGTATAATAAATTGATATATGAGGATGTGGTACAATTATAAAAAATATGAGTTTATGTGGTTGATAATAAATTGAGAAAAATAAAATGATTTAGAACCATCTAAAATTTATCAAATTTAGTACTCCCTTCATCCTGAAAATTTCACCAAATTGAATTTTCTTAATCAATACAATCAATTTTGGTAAAAAATTTTTTTTAATACGAAATTTTATAGAAAATCAAATTTATATTCTAAATATTTCATAAAAGTAGAAAATTTATAAATTACATACAAATTTAATAATAAAATCATTATCCAAAGTTATCATCTTAACCAACAAAAAGTTGATATGATGAACCTTTTCACAAAGGTTAGACAATTTAATAAGATTAAACAACAAGAAGTTTTATAGAATCAATTTTTCTAATAATAATAATCCTTAAAGCGAGAAGTTTTATGGAATCAGACTTTCAAAAAAAATCCCCATCCCCAATAAACGTGATTGAGGATTTTAGGCAAGATGTATGGTAAAAAAAGGCTATGAAGCAAAAAAGGCTATGAAGCAAAAAAGGCTATGAAGCAAAAAAGGCTATGAAGCAAAAAAGGCTATGAAGCAAAAAAGGCTATGAAGCAAAAAAGGCTGCGCATCCGGGGAATCGAACCCCGGTCAGTACCGTGGGAGGGTACTATGATACCACTACACCAGATGCGCTGTTGTTAACATGTTGACACATTACGTTATTCATTAAACATTTGGTAGGCTCAGTTCGGCCAGCTGAGAAGCGATTTTGGCGCTTAGATCAAAGCTGCAGTCAGCGCGGTTTTGGGTTCCTAATGTGCTTTCGGTGGTGCAAGGTCTAGAACACCATTTCCTTTTCATGAACACATCAGGAATTCATTTCCCCTTTTCCGATGCTTCAGTAAGTGGCAACAAATTGGCATTCAATTGCGTGATTATGCATAAAACCGCTTTCTGTGATCGAATAACACCCTAAGATTTGCTCTAAAAGCTGTTTATTTGAGTGGTGTGTGCTCTGAGCAAACCAATAACTTTAAACAGCCGTGTTAACTGATCTATACGATTCGTTTCTTGTTGTTTTCTGTGCTCAACAACAAGCCTACGGGATTTGATTCAAAATCAGACTTTGCATTAGTTGCATATGTTTTAGTACATTGAAGTCCGATCACTCTTGACCATTGATCCCTATTCAATACAAAGTATGATTTTCATTACATTGATTTTTATGTATGGGTCTGTAATGCTTGATTATAGGATCGCTTTTCCCCATTTCTAGCTTGTGATATTTCTGCCCTCCTCCAGTTGCTATCTATGATCTCTGATAAACTGGAACTGTGAAAAGACCATAGTAGTTACAATGACCTCTATGCCCGATTTTCCCTCCAGCAAAGAAGCATGTAGACACATTTTTGGATGATATACAATCGAGCCATTTTCCCTCTCAGTATCTTTCTTCTTTGCTCTTCTGTTCCTGCCGTCTTTTTGTTCCCCCAAGCAGTGACTTTCAATGGTGCGGATGGTGTTTGGTTGTCATTCATTTTCTTCATCAACTAATATTAGGATGTGATTGGAGAATATGGGGGTTGACTGTATTTTCTCTTCCTAGAGAGGATTTGGATTTTGCTTTCTAATGGAAACCCCCCTGTTATATATTAGGGTGAAAAGTGATGACTTGCCACCAGGTTGTTGACCCATGACATTGGTTTCCAGCTTTTACTTCCTCCCCTGCCTGATTTTCTGGTCTTAAACCTTTACAAAAAAAGACAGGATGACTCTGTATATGTTTATTATTTGACCAAAATATTTTCATTTAATGAGTTCATATTGATGTTGTCTTCCGTTTCAGCTGCTATCTTCAGTCACCCCCAACGTTCTGCTGCTAAATGTCTTGTTTTCTTTGTTACAAAGAAGACATACGCTATTGTTGATGAAAACATGTCTACATAGATATTTGCAGTTGTCCCATATGTGTGCGCTTGTAAATAAATGTGTATATTTTTCACGCATCTTTAGTGAACATAGATTTTTTCTTTTATCGTTTATCTTCCTTATCTTTTTATATTCTTATGTTATTTTTATCTTCTAGCTTTTTTATGCTCTTTTATTTTTTTTCTTTTATCTTTGTTATATTCTTGTGTTATTGTTATCTTATACTATCGTATTTATTTATCTTTATTTTATTCATTTTATCTTACTTTTTTTCCTTTTTTTGTCCGTCTTCTCTTTTTGGCATCGATATCATAGATCGATTCATGTTAGCCGACCTCAAATTCTTTTGGGATTAAGGCTTGGATGTTGTTGTTGTTGTTGTTTAGTGAACAACGTGCCTGTTAATTAGTAGCCTCTAAGCCTATATGGTATTCAATAGTGACATAATTCGATTATGAATCTTTTTGGAAAATCACTCTTTGTAGAGGTGATCCATGATGATGAACTAGTCTATTGATTTACCAAAACAATCAATTTTTTATGTCCATTCTTTTATTTTTTTCCCGTTTTGCAATCTTTCAGGAAATTAGCTATCTTGACAGGCGGCAACAATCAGTTATCTAGATATGACATTTTGTTCGGGATAAATTTTGTCTGTTGCTCAGTTTGCCTGTACTTAAAGAAAGATCCTATGATGACATTGCAAGCTGTATAGGTCGTTCCAATTTCTTAAGCTCTTTGACATATAACATATTCAGAGGAGTTGTGGAACTTAAGGGACAGTAAGGAGCAACCATTGTGTCTTTTTCACTTTTCATTTAGATGTTTTTCCTAAAATGTTACTACATATTTAAATAAAAGTGATGGAAAAATATATAATATAAGTTACTAAAAGTATATCATCAGACTTACTATAATAATTAGAACATCATCATGGTCACTAAAATTACTATATTAGTCACTAAAGTATTGAGTCATGTTTTTGTCCATTCCCTTTATTCTAGTCATATATTTGTAATTACTTCTTTCATTTACTTTATGTTTTTTCTTCTTGATGGAAAAAAATAAGTCTTCATCACTTTTGGAACTCTTCTTCCTTACTTTTGTTTGTTGAGCTTGACCTTGGGTTCTGTGACTCGGCTTCTCTATCACTTTCTTGCCAAAGTAGGCTTTGGTGAACTAGAAACTAGACCAGAATAAAGTGGATTATTTTAGTCACCCAGGAAGTTCAAAGTTCTGAAAGGAGATTGAGTAAAATATTTAAACATTTTAAAAAGCTTCGGCATCGGTAAATGTTTCAATTGCAGCATTTTTGTTAGTTTTTTGAGTGGAGGGGGGATTTAGTCTATCAGAGAGAATGACATGTACTATTACAAAGTGGAAAACCGTTCAGACTTCGGACAAACCTGTGTTTCCTTTAGACCTGGCCACTGTCAACTGCATGTTATTTAACTTTGTTCACTGCATTTCTATGTTAGCATTTATTATATGAAACCCACCAGGCAAAAAGATTATATATGAAATATAGAAAAGAGGAGAGAATGCCTAATTGTTAGTTCTATATCATGACATGTCTATGGGTTCTTTGAAATATAAGAATATATTGGTCGATGGGTATTTGCTTTTGCAAGCAACTCTGACACAATTGTTAGATTTCATTCAAAGTGATTGTATATGTTTACCATCTTTGTGGGAAAGGATGATGTTTGAAATGGGTGAAATTAGAAGTTCTTTTTTTGCCTTTGTTGCCTTCTTTTGACCCTTTCCAAGTCAAGGATACAATTTTGTAGTGAGACTTTGAGAAATTGCCATCAAAAGTTCCTATGTTATATTTGCATCATTTTAAAAACGGATCTTGTTCTGACCAGCCTATATGCTTCAAAGTGTATGTCTTGGAATTTTCTGTGATATGTTTGAATGTTGCCTTGTCATAATTTGCTTTCGCCTGGAGGTTGTGTTTATGTGATTGGGATACCTCAGTATAAATAGCCTTGCAGGCCTTTTCCATTTGTTGAGGACCTTTTAATCAGAAGTCAAAAGGCTCATTTTGATGCTAAAAAGTCCCTCTTACCTTTATTGTCAAATTGTGAATTGGTTTGTCATTTCTATGGTTTGCCATCACAGGAATTGTGAATTTTCAAGCAGTTGACGCCTTTTCATCTAAAAGCAAACAACAACCACTCTAATTTTCGAAGTATTTTAATGTATAACCTTGTTTACAATTATTACCCCAATTAATCCATTTCTTTATACTTCTTGCAGTGATTATCTTTTACCATTGTTGCCCCCTTTGTTGGTTTACATGGTATTTCTTTTGCCTGTCAGATGCATTACTTTGTGGAAGCAACCATAGAATACCAACAACACAATCACCTGGATGCTATGGTCAATGACATTATAGGCAGGTATGGTTATAGTAAATTATAACTACTTGAATAGATTCTCTGGTTGAGGATTTAAGCGTAGCTTTCTTACTTATTGTTTTGTAAAAAGGTTTTTATTTTTGGAATGGTTATGGTGATCTTTTCTCTAATCATAGCGGTATTTGTGTTCTTTTGTTTGGGTGTGCGTTGTTCCTCGACCATAGTGCTGGTAATTGAAAATTTCCTGCAAATAAATCTGTGAATGCCTATCCAAGAGATGTCATTGTAAGTTGTGTGCTTGATACTATTTGTTCTTTGACGCTTAATCTGTAAATGCCTATCCAATTTGGTGCAAGCTAGTATTAGTGCTTCTATGGGATCTGTTTTATATATTTACCAAGTAAGCTTTTTTTCTCAAAAAAGTCATGCAGTTCAGTAAAATAGTTAGCGTTCAATGTTCTCACTCACGGACAAATCCCTAAACAGAAAGGACTTCACGAGAGAAAAACAGATCAGTGAAGTTATGAAACAGAAAGGACTTAATGGTGTGTCTGGGTGGGGTTTTTAAATTGTTTGGGGGACTTAGTCTACAATCTCTCTCTCTCTCTCTCTCTCTCTATATATATATATATATATATATATATATATATATATATATATATATATATATATATATCATAAGAACAAAGCAAGATGTTTTTTTACGAGAGTAGAATGATTTAAAGAGCAAACAAAAGGCGATGGATAAATTATACGATTACATGTTATGTTATGTTAACCTTCCAAAGCCTTTTTCTCCAAAACTGTATAGCTAATCCGAGCCTAAAGCTCATTTTGGGTGGAGGGGTCTGGAGAGCTTAGTTTATACGATAGTATCTTTATAAAAGTATAGTTTCTAAAAACAAATAAAATTTGACTGAGATTTATGCAGTTACCTTTAATTTTATGTTCATTTTTCAACATTTTATAAACCCCAGTCCCCAAATATATATCAGGACTTAGACTAAACCCTCCAAAGTTTTCCCTTCTGAAGCCTTTTATCCCAATTAGGCCCTAAGTCCTTTTCATAGTGAGAAACAAGGGGAAATTTCCATAATAGTGAACTACCTTTTCTTTTAAGGGTCATCATTACTTTCAAGTTTTCTCATGTGCATGCCTTTAAACGTGAAGACTTTATACTTTGATAGCAGACGAGGTGTGTTCATTACTTGTTTGTGTAAAAATATAGTTTTGAAAATTTTACTGTAGTATTTGAAACATACATACGTCCATCTGATTTGATTTTGGTTAGCTGACTGAACCGTTTGATCGAATGAGTCGGTATAATGGGAAATTATATGGTACAACCGGCTATACCAAGAGCATGTTACAACTGACATTTTTGTAATTAAGTCTAAGTTAAAGGTTGATAATTACGCTACATCCCTTTCACTTATTTTCTTTATGCCGTCGTCGGCCTTGCCTGCTGGTCTTTATACCAAGTTATTTTCTTATCTTTGTAAAACATCGTACCATAATTCCCACCTTATGATCACAAAATGTTTTGCAAAGATAAGAAAATAACTTAGAATAACAAGTCATAAATCAATCAGGGACCAGTGAATGAAGATGAGGTGCAAAGGTTGGATTATTCATGAATAATGAAAAGGTGGGACTATTGTAATAAAACCGCTAAAAAGTTGGATTATTAGTTTCCATTTTCCCTAAATGTTAAGAGTCGCACACCTAAAAATTTGTTTAGTTTCCATTTATCAGAAAATACCTTTTCTGTACTCACACAAACATATTGGGGCAATGAGGTCTTTTTGTTTCGCTGAAATTAGATGGACGGTTATGTACAGCGTAGGGGCTGCTGCGGAGAACGCCCTGAAAGAGGACGAGGAGGGTGCGCTCATCGACACCTTCGACCTCGTCGGTCTCCTTCGTCCATCGGTCGATGAAAGACCGAAGTGATTCATCGTGTTGCTGTTTGACGAAGAGGAGATGGGAGAAATGTTACTTCACGCGCTTCCTTCCAGCGAAGTGTGTGAGGAAGCGTTGAGCAAGATCTTGCCATGAGTCCAAGCTTCCTTCGGGCAGTGCATTGAACCACTCGTACGTCGGTCCCTCAAGAGTGGAAAAGAACCAACGATAGAGGTATTCATCAGAAGCATTCACCATTAGCATGTTATTCTGATAGCGGCTGAAATGCTCCTGGGGTCGGTGCGGCCGTCATAGGGCTTGATGGCATTCCCCGATACTTCTCGGGTATTGGGGCTGAGGACACCCTTGCGGGGAAGGGAGTCTTTGTTATGATTTGGACGATGGGGTCACCACGTCCCTCGACCAGCTCCCTCTCCAAGGCGTTGACCTTGTGCAGGAGTGCGTTGTATCCAGGGTCCTGGGAGGTGGTGGCCGAGGGTTTGTCGGCCAGTTGTTTTGCCTCCATTTGGACAAGCCTCTTTTCCAGTTGGGCGATGACATCGTCCATAGGATCCTTGGCGGCCGTAGTGGCGCCCTATTAAATCCTGACGCGGGTTGCATGGGCAATGTTGATGTGGCGACGTGTGTCGTCCTCCTGTAACTTCCTTTTGCCTTTGTCAAGGCGGGGCCGATCCGCTATCCGGGATACGGACCCCAAGCTCTCCTTGGTGAACCAGGTTCACGTTCACCAATCTGTCCCATTAGCCTCTCCGATGTTGGCCGACGATGCACGTCCCCTAGCCTATTGAAGGTCGAGGCTCTACGCACTAGGGTTGGTCCAACTCGGGGATGGGAAGCGGGGTTGAAATGTGATGAAGATGTGTCCTGCGGTTCTACCCCCTCGAAGTTGTCGATCTTTATGACCAAGAGCTGAGGTGGGGGTGGTGGTGGTGGAGTGTTCTCCCCCGTCCTTGGCATGAGCGCGCTGAGGACGGTGGGGTTCTGAGCCAGGCTGGCTATGATGGCTGATAGAGCGGCCTAGAGCTGAGAGTCAACAACGGGAGTAGTCTGCTGCCTCGAGACATGGTCACCTCGGTCCATGCGCTTCTTCTCAAGGCCGATGCGGGCGTCTTGAGCGTTGCCGTTATGCTGATTGCGGAGGTCAGCCGTGGGGTCGATGGTCTCCTGGAAGATCTCCTCGTCCCCTGCTTTGTCGGCCGTAGCGTCGCCTGATTTCAGGTTTTCCTGAGCGTCACATATGGTTTTGCCGACGAAGTTGCGGTTTGATCTTGGTAGCGACGAAGGATGCTAACTTGATTGTTTTAGTTCTCAATGAAAGCACCAAATGATAGAGTATTAACTCCTAGAGAGAAGTGAGATCTAGAGAGAGAAGTGATTTGTATTAATGAATTTCCAACCCTTTACATGGCTCCAATAGGGACTATTTATAGGAGAAAAGTGAGCTAGGCTCCCAAGTCTTGAGCTTGGGATGCCCATTACAATATAAGGCCTCTATTAGGCTCAGTACATTTGAACATAATAGCTACATATGGAAGTCTGGCTCTGTGAGCTCTCTGTGGCCGACGGACGTCTCGCCGATGGAGGCACTGGTCGACGGGAGCACTGGCCGACGGAGGGCAAATCTTCTCCTTTGCTACTGGAGCGTATTTCAGATTGACTCTTCTTTGGCCGATGGGGTGTCAGGCCGATGCGGGTGCCAGGCCGAAGAGGTACCCACCTCTGCTTTGGACTCTTGGGTCGTGATCTGAGCACTTTTGATTTCGGCCGATGGGGTGCCATCTGGCCGATGCGACGCCACGCGATGTCAGTCTTCTGTGTTTAATCTTCTGAGTATATGAGTTGTGGGGTCTGGGCCATATACTCTATCAATTATTATTATTATTATTATTATTATTACTATTATTACTATCATCATCATCATCATCATCATCATCATCATTATCATGATTACCATTATCATGTGATAGATTATATATTTAGAGAGAAGGGAGAGCTAGAGAAAGAAGTGCAATAACTCTTTGCAATAAATGATTTGTCAACCCCTATAACTACCCCCAAGGGGAGTATTTATAGAGAAAATTAAGGTTAGGCTCCCAAGTCTTGGGCTTGGGAAGCCCATTTAGAATAGGGCCACTAATGGACCGGATAAAAAGTGTATAGAAATGATTAAGTAGAAAATCCTGTTCTGGAGGTATTTCTGGCCGACGAGGGCATGGCCGACGAAGACCCGGCCGACGAGGTCACCCGGCTCTCCTGGCTTCTGGGTCATATTCTGAGTAGACTTCTTTCTGGCCGATGGGGGTCATATTCTGAGTAGACTTCTTTCTGGCCGACGAGGTGATCGTGGTACATTCTGTTCTCCTGAGTATGTGGGCCCTGGGGTTCAGGCCCATATACTCAATCAGGAGTCCTCCACTCTCTGAGCTGAGATGTAGACGAAGTGAAGGAGAGTAGATTCCCTGGCGTTGACGTTTCCTGGCCATTGTGGGGCCGCTATGGAGTCTTGGCTGTTACGGGCACCCTTTGCTTTGGTCCTTGACTTTTCGTTGTTATGGGTGCTCTACGTTCTAGCCGTTGTGTGGCCTTCGCTGCGGACGAAGAGGGCTCTAGCCATGCAGATGATGTTGTTTCCTGTTGAGGACGACGAGTGCCTTTGCTTGGTGGAGACGATGAGCATTCTCTTGCATGAGTGGCCGATGAAGACGGTGCTTCCCTACTCCTAACCGTTGATGGTTGAATTTCGTACTCATGGCCGAGGAGACCATTGTGGTCATCTCCTGTTTGAGGACGATGAGTGTCCTTCTACCTCCGGGTAGTCGGTGAGGGTGCTGTTTGCTTTATTTGGCCGTTGTGGCTCTCCTTCTGTGCTTTTGGCAGAGGAGTGGTGGTATCCGTAGCTTGGTACCCATGTTCTTGAGGACGATAGCGGCACTGATCCGGAAGGAGTAACGCATATCCTGGTCTCGTGGACGACGATGATCTAAGGACGTTGAGTTCCTGTTTTAATTCCTGGTCGAGAGTGGAGTATGCGGTCTCAAAGCCGTTGAGTGCCCTGTGATCTTTGGTGTTGCATCTTTGGAGGGAATTCTTTGTTTGCTGACTTAGCTGCGGCCAATGGTGCACCACAAGGTTATGGACACTGTGGTGCATATATGATCTGATGTTGTAGTTGTGGACTTAGTATATTTTTGGATTTCTTTGATTTTGTCCTCTTGATTTCCAAAGGCCAGTGTAGTCCCCCAGTCCCCCACTGCTTCAGGCCGAAGAGTGAGCGAGGGGTGAAGGGGTAAAGGATTCCCCTAGGTCGAAGCGGGATTCTTGTATTCCCCTGAATCCAATCCCTTGGCGATTTTCTGACCAAGGTAACCCTGTGGGAGAACCCTTGGACGCAGGCCGCTTTCATGAAATTATCATCAGGGTTTTATACAAAGCCGATGGCTGGGGTTGCCTTTTGCTTTGCTGCTGTGGCCATTGAAGGGCCATGCCATTGGTATTCTGCTTGGGCCGATATGGGTACACTGTGGTGTGACCTACACCTTTTGAAATTACTGTTGGCCGTTGGGCCCGATGTAGGTGTGCTTTCTTAGTGTGGCCGTTGAGTGGTTGACCGTTATGGACGCTGATTACTGTCACGTTGGTGATGGGTTGGTACTAATGGAAGTGGGCCTGCCCCGTCTTTTGGATCGGTGCCAGCCCAATGGGCCCTGGGTTTGGTGGCCGTTCACGTGGCCAACGGGTGTGTGCCACGTGTAGTGACCGTGGGGGGGGGGGGGGGTATAAATACCCCCCGAAGAGGCTCCCCATTGCATTCTTGAGATAACGAAGTGCTGCCAAATTTTCTAGAGAGAGAGCCTTGTTCATGTGTTCTTCCGTTCTTCAAAACTTCAAAGGTCAGTTCATCGAACTTTTCTCCAGTTCCTTGCATACTTTGCTTCTTTTAGACTTTGATTTGGTGTTAGTGGAGAATCACCCTTAGATCCAAAGTAATCCCCTCTAGGCTTTAGCTAGTTGTTATGATGAAACCCATGGACGATGAGTACTACCCATATGACGATGAGGCCTCCGTGAAGTCCCTTGACTACCGGGTAGTTGAGGAGTGTTGCGAAGAGATCGAGGACCCGAGCTCCTTCAAGTCAGGGGAGCCGGAGGTCAGTGAGGGTGAAGACGAAGAGGCCGCCTCGTCGTCCAAAGGAGAGGACGTAGTGGTCTCCCGTGCCGTGGACGGAGCATCCACTTCTGCTGCAATTCCCTGCCCGAAGCCGGTCTATGCCGTGAAGGGAATCGCTCCAACGAGAAGGCGTCGGCCGAAGAAGGGTCCAGGTTACTCCTACCTGGACCTCACGAACATTTATTTGATCAAGCCGAAGGGCAGCGCGACTGATTACCTAGTGGCCCAGATGTATGTGGGGCCGTATGGAAGGGTTAAGCCCCCCAAGTCGACGGACCACGTGCTGAATCCACCTCCGGGGTACTTTGGAGTATACCCCATGAGCTTTGCCAAGGGGATTAGATTTCCCCTTCATCCGTTCATCACGGAGTACTTGGACATGGTGGGTCTCCCTCTGGCCTTGTTGACCCCGAACAGCTATTCACGCATCGTCGGCTTCCTCCTTCGTTGCGATGAATTGGACTTTAGGCCGACGACGGCCTTTTTATGAATTTATACCAGATCGGCCGAGGGAGCCACAAGAATTGTGCCGGCTACGCCAACCTTCAACAGCTGCCGAAGAAGAAGAGCTTTACTAACCTTCCTTCGTCTATCCATGGTTGGAAAAACAAGTTCGTTTTTGTGTCGTTGGGCGAGGGTGGCACCAAATTTCCCTCCGTCGGCCATGACAGGAGATTTAACCTCCATGATGTGCCGAAGAGTAGCATTTTGGATGCCCAGGTGATGACATTCTTGAAAGGAGGGCCGAGGAGTGTGAAAGAGTATATAACAGAGTACAAGATGACCGCCTTTGGCTTCTTCAGGTACTTCGTCTATGGTGACAAGGAGAGTGACACCGAAATATGGCTGAGGATGACCACCACTTTTGAGGAGGCCGATGGCCCGGATTTAGGCGTGCCCGCCGAAGCTGATGGTAATACCCTCTTTGGCGTCTTCGTCTGCCTTTGTTTTTCTTTTTGCTAACTATCCTCTTTTGTTATGCAGATTTTGTGATGGATCGCAGATCCGTCATGGCCCTTGCCAAGGCGAAGGTGAAGGAGGAGATGGCTGCCAAGGAGGCCGCGAAGCTGGCCGCTGCGAGTGGCCCGCAGCCGAGTTCGGATGCGGCAAAGAAACCGCCCACCCAGCCGAAGAAAAAGCAGCCTGTGGATGACGATAAGAAGAAATTGACCGAGGCTGACATGCAACCTTCGAAGAAGTCGAAGAGCGCTTCTCCTTCGACTGAGGCTGATGCCAGGGTTGCAACTGTGCCGGCTGATGATGTTGGGGGCTCTAATGCCATTGTTATTGTCGACATGGTCTCTGCCCCCTCGTCGACTCTGCCCCCTCGTCGACTGCTATATCCCAGCCGCCCCCTATCGGCCAGGACTCCCGAAAGAAGAGGGCCGAAAAGGAGTTGGCTATTGAGACCTACAAGCTTGAGGTCGTGTACCCTGTCAAGGGTGGCGTTTTTAACGACGCTGTAGACGGCCATGACGTGCTTGCCCAAGCTGTCCCGGTCGAGGACCGGGCTTATCTGAAGAAGCTTGGCCCCATCAGGATTTACGACGACGGGATGGACCTTGTCGTCCAAATAAGTTCCTTGTACTTTACTCTTTTTACATTTCTTGATGTCACAAGTGTCTGCGTCGTCCTAACCTTTTCATTCATTGCAGGGGGGCCATATGCTGATGGAGAGCCATAAGAGTCAGGAACAAGAGATTGTTCGGTTGAAAGAGGCTGAGCAAAAAGCTGCTTCGACCGAGGAGGCCATGGCCTGCCTTGATCGGCTGCGGGACGAAGTGGGAGCCCTGAAGAAGAGGGTCGATGAGGCCGATGCGGCCTACCGTCAGGTGGCGGCCGATAGGGACGACGCCCTGAGGGTGAAAGATGAAGCTCTGAGGGGCCACGACGAAGCCCTGCTCCGGGCTGAGGATGCCGCGAAGGCTGCTGAGAAGGCTGCTGATGCCGCAATCGAGAAATTTCTGGCCGAAGGCTGGAAGGCAGAAGATCGTCGCCCCTGGTGCTACGAGGTCGTGGCGGATCGGTTAGAGGATTGGGGCAGAAACTGCCCTGTCGGCCAAGACTATTTTCAAAGGGAGATGTCTGTCTACTACGACATGGGCCAGCAACGGATGCAGCGACTAGTCTACCGGAGACTGCACCGCGCTTTCAAAAAGCTGAAGCTTACCCAGAAATGGGCCAAGAAGAATCTGAAGCTTCCCAGGCTAATGAAGGACCCTGAGGCTGAAGCGAAGCTCCCCCCTTTTGAGAGACAGACCCGATACTCAGCTCCTTCATCGATGAGCCGGATTGGTCCGATGACGATGCCTTGGCCGATACCGCCATCTCCGCAGTAGCCGAGGCCAATGCAGATGTGGGGACGGAGGAGGGCACCGAAGCTGCTATTGAGCAAGCTGATGTGGGGCAGGTTGCTGATGAGGTCGCTCCAGAGAATTGATCGGCCAAACCTCTTTTCCCTTTTTAGCTTAAGCGGGTGCTGTGGCGCCCCTATTTTGTAATGGCCGTTGTGCCCCCATGTACCTTTCCTTTGATTAATAAAGATGTTTCTTTTTCGGCTTTACAGTTTACGATGTCCTCCTCGTCTTGCCTTTCCTTTTGCTTTTGTTATTCTTCGAAATTTTTCCAAGGGTTGAAGTTGGGACTTTGATAATCGTTCTCTTTGGTTGTTTCCTCTGGTTGTGGCCGAAGTAGATAACTTAGGTGAGCATGTTTCGTCCGCAATGAACACTCCCTGCTTTTAACAGCACTTTAGAATTTCTTCTAAGTGTCAGATTTTTAAGCGATTGAGTGTCCGCTTCATCTTGTGGCATCCCTCACCCCCTTTTATTTCACTCGCAATTTTTCCAAGTGTTAGACAAGAACTCATGAGCCTGCTTCCTGTAGTTGTGGCCGATGAAGGGTCCTGCTCTATGCTCGGCTGAGGGGGGAGTGTGTTCTTCGTCTTTGTAATGTTTGGTGTCCCACTTTTTCGTGGAAATCTCTAAGTATTTAGCTTAGAAATATTTGGAGATTGTTCTGTGTTGGACAGACTTAGCTGATTGCTTCCTTCATCAGTGGCTGATGACAGCTTCCCGTTTGGGTTGCCTGATGCCGGCTATGTGGTGCCCTTGTCGGCCACACGAGTTTACCTTGGTAATTCTGTCCAAGTTTCTTTTCTTTTTTCTTTTCGTACAAACGCTTTCGTCCATAATGCGTGGTATTTTCCCGATACATACTCAATTTCGGGGATTTTATTTTTATTGCTCGTGGCCGGCGAGTGCACGGTCCATCGACTTCCCTCTTTCATTTTTTGGGGACATCACTTTAGGCCAGCGAGTGCACAGTCCCTCGGCTGTCCCTCTTTTATTTTTGAGGATATCGCTTTAGGCCGACAAGCGCGCGGTCCCTCAGGTGTCCCTCTTTTATTTTTTGGGGATATCGCTTTAGGCCGGCAAGTGCGCGGTCCTTCGGCTGTTTCTCTTTTATATTCTTTCTCTTTACTTCTTTGAGCGAGGAGTGGGTATCCTTCTTTCAGGCTTCGGCCAAGGGGGTCGATAGTCCCTCGGCCGGTAAGGAGTCCTACTGGATCGTCCTGTGATATCAGGGAGGTCCCGTCGCCTATTTATTACGCGGGCTAAGGCTTTTGACCGGTTACCGACGACTGCCGTTTCTCATCCCTGAGTTTGGGGGTTTTTGTCGCCTCGACCATGATTTCAGACATGTCGTCCTGCTGATTTCGTGAATGGATGACGCGGTGAGCTTCACATTTCAGGACGTGGGCTCTTTGCGGGCCCATCGTCCTGGGGACACCGTCGGCCTTACCTGAGCGTCTCGCTCTAAGGGGTCAAAACGATGTGCTCTGTCGACCTTTCCTGAGCATTTGCGCTCTGAGGGGTCGGTGTAGTGTAGTACCATTTCCTTGGACGTTTTAGAAAAGTAAGTAGAATACAACTTTTATTGATAAGTGGCTCGAGGCCGAGGGTGGCGTTCGATCAACAACCCGTGGGAGGGTGAGGGCTTTGCCGGCTGCACCGTCCCCGGGTTATTGATAGAATTTCACCTAGTGATGTACATTCCACATTCGTGGTACATTAGACCCATTCGGGTGTTTTAATTTGTAGGTGCCGGGCTTGACTACGACACTGACGATGTAGGGTCCTTCATATTTGAGTGCCAGCTTGCCACCTTCCGTTGGCTTACTCGCCTCTCTTCGGCGAAGGACATAGTCCCCCTGGAATTCCCGGGAACGTACCTTGGCGTCATAGTATGATTTTACTTGACGCCGGTAGTTCTCTGCCCGGATGAAGGCCTGCTCTCGTCTTTCTTCGATCAGGTGGAGATCAATCTTCATGCTTTCTTCGTTGGCCTCAGGCTCATAACGCTCCACCCGTCGGCTGGGTATGGTGACCTCTGTGGGCGCCTTTGCTTCAAAGCCATAGCAAAGGGCAAAGGGTGTTTCACCCGTCGCCCTCCTCGGCGTAGTACGGTAGCACCACAGAATATTGGGGAGCTCATCGGCCCAACTGCCCCCTGCATCCCGGAGCTTCTTCTTCAGGCCTTCCAGGATGGTTCTGTTGGCGTTCTCGACTTGCCCGTTACCTTGAGGATAGGCAACGGAGGAGAAACGATGTTTGATTCCCCACCTTTGGAGGAGCTCTTGGAAGGGCACGGCCTCGAACTGGGTGCCGTTGTCGGTGATGGTGATCGCCTCCGTCCGCTGCTTCTTCGGCGGGGGGGGGGGGGGGGGGGGGGGAGCGTGGGATACCAATCCAATGTAAAGGGATTGGGCCCACTTCTTCCTCTGGGTGGCCGAGCCCCCCCCCCCCCCGTATTACCCCCACGATGAGGTTGATGTGGTTCCTCTTCGGGTGGGGCTCTTCAAAGTCTTCCTCGTCATCACTGAGCCTGCCGATCTCTCGCTTCTTCGTAGAGGGTTCGCCCCCAGGCTTGCCGGTGTTTACCCACGTATTCTTGTGTGGGCCACCTTTAACAAACTGGGAGAGTTCCCCCTGGCGAATCAGCTTCTCGATGGCTCGCTTTTGCGTGACACAGTCATCTGTGTTGTGGGAGGTGTTCCTGTGATAACGGCAATAGGTGCCGCCCTGATGGACGACGTAGATCTCCTTAGCCAACCGAGGATCCCGTTCAATGAGATCGTTCTCCTCGGCGTAATCGAGGATGGAGCTGACCAAATGAGTAAGTGGGGTCTTCGGCCTTTCCATCCTCGGCCGCCACACGCGGTCTTTGTTCTTTCCGCCAGCTCCGTGGCGGCCTTGTCCTCCCTGACCTCGGTCCCCGGCTGAGGGTGCGCCTGCAGCTGGCACGGCGTTTGTCTTCTTGGAGCGGTGCCCTCCGTCTTTCTTGTGGTTGTGGAGCTCGTCGGCGTCAGCGTACAATCCGCCCCGTGCAGTTTCCCCTTGCCTTTGTCCAGGCGGGGCCGATCCGCTGTCCGGGATACTGACCTCAAGCTTTCTCTGGGTGAGCCAGGCTCACGCTGACCAATCCGCCCCGCCATCCTCTCCGAAGCAGGCCGACGACACGTGTCACCTAGCCTGTTAAAGGCTGAGGCTTTTCCACGCACTGGGGTTGGTCCAGCTCGAAGCAGGGAAGCAGAGTGGGAGTGGGACGACGTCGTGTTCTGAGGTGCCACCCCCTCATCGTTGCCTAGCCTAACGGCCAATGGCTGGGATTGAGGAGGAGGCGTCGTGTTCTCCCCCGTCCTTGGCATGAGTGCGCTGAGGACGGTGGGGTTCTGGGCCAAACTGGCGATGATGGCCGAGAGTGCGGCCTGAAGCTGAGGATCAACACCAGGAGAGGCCGGTTGCGCTGAATCGTTGTCGCCTTTTTCCGCGCGCTTCCTGTCCAAGCCGATGCGGGCGTCTGGGCCGCCGCCATTGAGCTTGTTGCGCAGGTCACCTGCGAGGTCGATGGCTTCCGGGAAGACATCCCCCTCGGCGGCCTTGTCGGCCGTAGCATCCTCCTCGTGTTTCTGGTTCTCTTATGCCTCAGGGATGACCTTGCCGAGGAGGTTGCGGTTTGACCTAGTTCTTCCCATTGTCAGTTAGCTGTGCTTGGTAGCGATGAAGGAGGCTAACTTGATTGTCCTAGCTCTCAATGAAAGCACCAAATGATAGATTATATATCTAGAGAGAAGGGAGAGCTAGAGAGAGAAGTACAATAACTCTTTGCAATAAATGATTTGTCAACCCCTATAACTACCCCCAAGGGGAGTATTTATAGAGAAATTTAGGGTTGGGCTCCCAAGTCTTGGGCTTGGGAAGCCTATTTACAATAGGGCCACTAATGGCCCGGATACAAAGTGTATAGAAATGATTAAGTACAAAATCCTGTTCTGGAGGCTATTTCTGGCCGATGAGGGCATGGCCGACGAAGACCCGGTCGATGAGGTCACCCGGCTCTCCTGGCTTATGGGTCATATTCTGAGTAGACTTCTTTCTGGCCGATGGGGGTCATTTGGCCAATGAGGGTCCCACTAGGTGATCGTGGTACCTTCATTCTCCTGAGTATGTGGGCCCTGGGGTCATTAGACCCATATACTCCATCATCATGATTACCATTATCATGATTATCATTATTATTGTCATTATTTTTATTATTGTTATTATTGTTATTATTGTTACAGTTGTTACTGTTGTTACTATTTTTACTGCTATTACTATTATTACTATCATCATCATTGTTATTGTCTTTGTTGTTGCTAATGGTGGTGTCGTCGGTGTTGTTGTTGTTGTTATTACATTTTTGCTTAATTTTTGTTGCACTATTTTATTTTTATTAAAATGTTAAATTTGACTTATTAGCAATATTTTGCATAAACCAAGCTTTATGAAAAAATTGTCATTATTTTATAAAATAAATAATTTTTATTCTTTCATTATAAATAAAAGGATAAATATATATGGGATCACAATGTCATCATCCTTTAAAATATAATTGTCATCTATACATTTGACCCAAAATATTTTGTTAAAAACTAAACTATGACACATTTACGTTTGTTGTCATTAAAAGGTAACACTAATGACAAAATAATATTGTATGTCATTATTTTTCAAAACATTTAATGACAAAATTTGATTATGTCATAATAATTAAAATTACGTGACACCAATTATTGTCATTAATTGTTTAAAAAATGTGATCAAACGAATTACTTCCGGATTTTTGGCGTCAAATGTTGCCACTCAAACTTTAAGTGACGGTTTAGGTCTTATTGTCATAGAAAATATCAATTAATGATGAAATATAAAAGTTAAAGTGAAAAACAAGAAAATTGCCATGACAATCATTGTAGTGTGATAAATTTGAGTTTTGTAATCTAACAATGTTTTGTATGTCACATAAATTTTTATCATAAAATGTGTGATTTCGTAATAGATTTAAAGTGATAATCCAATTTGATTTGATTATTTAATCTAAAATGTACAACACTTTTTAATAGCATTTCACATTATACCATATAAAGTATTTTACGCGGGGCGGTGGTAAAATATTTTGAATCCTTTTTATAAAGCACTGCAATGTCTTTACATGCAACTTTTAAATAAATTACGTCAAACAATGTAAATTTGCATGCAAAGTGATTGGTTTTCTAAATTTTGCATTCAATTACTTCCTTCGTTCTTTATTAACTGTCTCGCATTCCTTTTTGAGACGTTTTTTATTATTTGTCTCTCTTTCTATTTTAGGAAAGTTTTTGATAAAATATTCCCACTTTTATTATTTTTACCCCTCTTACTTTTTACAAATTACTTTCTCTTTCCTAATTTATCATAATTTTACTCTACTTAATATACTCTTTTTCCTACTTTATCATCACTTTACTCTTTTTAATATACTCTCTTTCCTACTTTATCATTTATCCTACACACTCTATATTTATCCTACTATTTTTCTATTAAAACTCGTGTTCAAAGCTAGCGAGACAGATAATAAAGAACGAAAGGATATTTTTCAAAGATTTAACATGTAAACTATGAAATGAGCGATTAATGGATCACTATGCAGTACGGTACACCACGTTTCAAAAAAAGGTAGGAACGTAAATTGGATCACATTGATGTAAAGAATTTTTCACCTTTCAAATTGCGCGACTTGTGATGAGCTCAAAATTTATTATAACATCATACTATCCTCCGTTCCATAAAAGTTGCAACAATTTGATTTTCACGTTTGCCAACGTGCAACTTTGACTGTAATTATATTTATTTACGTATTAATAAACATTAAAAAAAGTTAATATATTGGAAATTTACATTAATACAAATTTATTAATATTTTATACATAATATTTTTATTATATATATTATTAGAAAATCGTAGTCAAAGTAAGTTGTATGAATAGTGTAGAAATTCCAATGTTGCAACTTTTATGGAACGGAGGAAGTAGGTCGTTACTCTCTAGAGTTTAGTATATTTAACACACATGAATTAAAAGAAAAATATTATTTGCATATAGTACGGAGTAGTTATTACTTTTCTTATTGCCCGTAAATACCATTTCATTCTCCCATTTCTTTCTCCTCTCCTTTCTCTTTACTTATTCCCACTTGAACTTTCAATCAAAAGATGAAGCTTATTTGGTAACTCGTGCTTTCAGCTTATCAACCACATTTTTTTAATTTTGTGCGCTAAATTGTATAACAATCAAAATAAGTAAGGTCTCAGTTATTTTTCTAGATAAATTGACTGAAATTACTATAAATGATCACTTTAACTATTTTTCATATAATATTTTCTTAATTTTATCAACAAAATATATTTCAAATATAATTTCTTCACAATTTAGCAGATTTATCTTATTTAACCACTTTAGTCAGAATTTCATTGATTTTAGCAGATTTAATCCTTTAAGCAAATTTCAGTGTTACCCAACGAGCTCTAGCTCGTTTCTTATTCATCATCATCTTCTCTACTTTTTTGTTTCCTTTTTGTTCCATTTTTTGTTCAAAATCTTTTTTTAGTTTTCCCTTTTCACCCTTTTTTTTTTTCAAATTACATCAAAATTTGTTACACGTAGAACTGCATCATTATTCTGCACGCCTATGAACATTTACATATTTTTTCACACAAACAATTTGAATTGATTACTCAGACAACAGTCATTTGTGAGCAACACAACTACTGTTTGTGTGTAAAATATATGTGAACACAAATAATTGAAACCGACAACACAAGCATCTATTGTCTATGAGCAACTAAACTATCGTGCGTGTGACAAATTCTATTTCATATTCCATAACTTACTTCCTTCTGTTCTTATTTAAGTTCCCAATTTGACTTCACACATATTAAGAAAATGAATTTGACTTTACTGTGGAGTGCACTGTTTGGCACTGTTTGGACACTGTTTGACACTGTTTTGTTTCATAATATGGAAGTGTGAATTTAAATAAGGGACATCCCAAAAAGGAAAGTGAGAACTTTAATAAGAACATGAGTATTAAAGAAAGCTATTTTACCCGTTCACTAGTTGGGTTGTGGTCTCGCAGATGGTCATAGAATATAGAAATATTATCATATCTTTATATAACAAAAACAAAAGTAAGTGCAAAAAATTATGATCTTGATAACTTAATGACTATATTTATATTCAAATGTTACATTATAGAGACTAAAACATACATATACAAATTTATAGTCATATGTTTGTGTATAAGTTTTTAATTATTAATATTTTAGAAAAAACTCCTTGCCATATATCTATTGGAACATAAATTTTTAAGAAATGCATTGCCTCCTACATTAAAGATTCACATAAATGCATCTCTCTCCAACAAATGTTACAGAGTTGAAATTAGATAAATAACCAGCCAACTCCAACCTCTGTTATTATGTAGGGATCGTAAATTTAGGGTTCTGATAATGAGCTCCACTAATCCCTGACAGCGAAGAAAGGGATTCGCCGCTTTAAAGGTCAGCGCGGTTGCGAGCTCCCATTAGATCTGGCTGCCTATGGTTTGGAGCACCATTTCCTCATCTCATAAGTTGAAGATGAACACATCTAAACTTCTCCGAGCCTCAGCAAGTGAATATAAATTGGCATTCAATCGCGCGATGATGGGCAAAGTTGTTGAATAACTTCCCAAAATCAGGTAGGAGTATTCGATTTCGTGATCTGTACTCTGAGCTATAAGTCACTTGTCAAGCACCCATCTTTAATTGCTTTATACAATTCGTTTCATCTGTTGTCTGTGATCAACAACACGGCGAGTAAATTCGTGTCAAAACTCAAAACGGTATTTGCGTTAGTTGCATATCGCTAATTATAATGCATATGCTATTAGTACATTTAACTATTTAAGTCTGATCCCTCTTGAGAATCGATCTCTTTTGAGTACAAAATATGAACTTCATCCACATTGTTTTTTGTTTTGGGATCTTTATTGCTTGAATTAGAGTATCAAGCATTTTTTTCTATCACAGGCTCTGATTATCTGCTCTATGTAGCCGATTTCCTATCATTTCTAATAAGTTGGAACTGTAAATACAGACTATAGTAGTTAAATGTTACCACAATCTCTATGCCCCATTTTCTTTCCAGCAAAGCAGCATGTGAAGGCATTTTCGGATGATATACAACCGCGCCCGTTTCCCTTTCAAAATCTTGTTTCTTTGCTCTTCTGTTCCTGCCTTCTTGTTGTTCCTTGAGGCAGATGATTTCAACTTAGTGGATTGTACCTGATCGTTATTCATTCTTTTGACCAACTAACATTCGGCTGTCTTAGGAAAAACCTGGGATTGGCTATTTTTTTCCAACCCTGTAGAGAATGTGGTTTTTGCTTTTAGTTGGTGGAAACCTTTGCTATTTATTAGGGTGGAAAATTTGTAGACTTGCCACCAGACTGTTGACCCATGATATTGCTTTCCAGCTTTTACTGCCTCCCAAACCTCACTAGAAAAGGACAAATGACTCTGTAAGTGTTTAATGTTTGACCAAATGTTTTCATTTAATAGGTTCATACTTGATACTGTCTTTTGTTTGTGGTGCTCTTCTTCTGTGAAGGAAGTAGGTGCACCCAATAACCCGTCACTTACTATCATACTTGCTTTATTTGCTAAAAGAAATAAGCTGTTATTAAGGATAAGGATGTGTAAATAGATAGTTGCGGTAAGCCTATAAATAATTTTTCCTGTATTTCTCATCCATCATTAGCTTACTTTCCTCATTTTCACTTTCCATAGTTTTATCCATTTTTCTCTCTTTCTGGAAATTATCTATCCTGACAGGGAGAACAATCTGTTTTGTAGATATGACATTCTGTTTGGGATAAATTTTCCTTGTGTTTTTTTATACTGAAAAAGCTCTTATGATGAATTTTCATGTTACTTATGTCGTTCCAATTTCCGAATCTCTGTAACATATTCAGAGCTGCTGTGGAACTGAAGGGACAACTGAAGAGCATCTGTGATGTATTTTTTACTTTTCATTTCCTTCTCATGTTTTCATACTCTCTTGTAGGAAAAACGAATTCTTCATCACTCTTGGAACTATTCTTTCTTGCTTTCGGCTGTTGAGCTTGATCTTTAGTTGGGAGACTCAGCATCTTTATCTCTTTTTATCAACATAGTTTTTACCCACAATGAAAGCTAGACCAGATTTAAGTGGATTCATTTTAAGGTAGTGGTGGAGCGAAAGAGGGACCAGTGGGGGGCCTTGCATCTCCCAAAAAAAACCACATGTATATATATACATATATAACTGGAAATCTAATAAACTATAAAAATATAATTAAGTATGAAACTTGGGCCGCCCTAATAAAATTTTGTTGGCCTCAAGCTCCCCTAATACTAAATCTCTAGCCCCTCCTCTGTTTGTTCATTACTAAATCTCCAATACAAGGATGAAAATTATTCTGATAAAAGGAGATTGAGTAAAGCATTTAAAGATTCTAAGAAGTGTTTCATTGATAAGTAGTTTGATAGCATCATATTGGGCATTGGGGATGTAAGTTCCTTTTCCCTGGAGGTCCGAATCCAAAAAGTTAAAACTCCACAAGACAAAGGGATCTCAAGATATTTATCAGTAATATACTCCCTCCGTCCCATATTTAACTCCGGTTTTGACCGGGCACGGGTTTTAAGATAGTTGGATTTGTGTGGTGGAGAGTTATGCAGAGGAGAGAGAAATGTCTAAGAATGGTTGTGAACCACATATTCTTTACCAAAAAAGGAAAAAAGAGATAAATTTCGGACGGACCGAAAAGGAAAGAATGAAGATAATTCCGGGACGGAGGGAGTACTGTATAGATTTGTGGCTCAACCAATCATTGTGTACCATGTTTGCAGGAGATAGGAATCTCAATGCCAGAACAAAATGCCTTGCCTCGTATTTCATTTCTAGGTAGATCTAGTTAGTTACTCCGTATTTGTTTTCATAATAGTTGAGAAAAGCAAGAAAGAATAGTTCTAGGTAGTTTTTGAATAGTCCTCATCACTCGTATTTCATTTCTAGCTAGATCTTTAGCTGGGAGACTAATTAGAATCGAAATAGTGATATGATTGATCGAAATAGTGATTTTTTAAGAATAAGGCTTGGATTTTGTTGGTATATATACTCAAAAAAGAGTATTGTTTGTAATTTAGATTGTAGTACTCCAATACAAACGTACCTTTTCCTTTGAGGGACTAACAGGACTTTGGAAACAGTCTTTGGAAGCTTCCTAATGGCGCGTATTGCCTTAAAGTGTTCACCCACCAGTCCACCACAAATTAGCCCCCACTTATACTGTCCATCAATGGTGTGGTCCCACCAGAACCGTGGGTGAGCAGGATTGACCAACTTACATCATCTTTGACCATATGGTACAGCTATGGCACACTCCTTGTTCCAGTTATTATTGTTTCAAAATCTAAATGGGAATCTAATACTCCGTATGTATTTTCTTGAGTATTGACCGACTCTGATTTCCTGCAGGTTTTTGTGTTTTGAGTTTCGTATTGGTGGTTGAATGTCTGACAACGTTCAGACTTCAGATGGGAAGAGGCTAAATCGCTACTGAGATGGATAAGGCCAATTTAAGTAGCTTACAAGAACATAGATACAATGAGTTCTGACACTGAAAATGTGAACTTAGAGCCACTGGTCAACATGTATAATCCATTGTAAGCTGCAATTCTTTATGGATTCCAAATCGCATAAGGCCCAATATTAGCCGGTGCATACATTTGTCAATTGTCACTTTTAACACGATCTGCTCTGTAACAATATCTTATTTTCCCGTTCTAAAAAATCTCGCTTTTATGCTGTAACTGTATATTTTGCATGAACAAGATCTCAAACATGAGCTGGTAGCCTGGTATTTGAAGATTCAACCGAGGGCTCGGGTTTTTCAAGTAGAAATTTTTCGCAGGGAGGATTTGACTTTGCACCCCACTTTTTGGGTGATGTTAGATTTTGCACCCCATTTTGAAAAAAACCTTGACTTTGCACCACAACACAACATTTGTGAAGAAAAAATCTCATTAGGTGCAAAGTCAAAGGTTTTTTAAGTGAAATGGGGTGCAAAATCAAATCCCTCTTTTTCTTTAGGTAAAAAAACTACATACTCCGTATTTGGTATTTTTACAAAATTAGAAATTCCAGTCCTCTTTGTCATCATTTCTAAGAGCGATAGAAATTTGTTTACCCAAAGATTAAAGATGTATAATGGAATATTGATCCTTGCACCCACCCTATGGTAATATTTAGTTACCACTCAATATTTAAATATCCTTGAATGTGCATCCAGATTCCAGAGCTGATCATTTCTTTAGACTTTGCTATCCGTGGGTTGCAAGTTGCAAGCACTAGGGGTTGTTTATTAATTGGAACATTTCTGTTTTCAAGAAATGTGAAAAATTGGAGGAATGAAAATTGGAAGACGTGTCGATCTGTTTATTCTCCAAAATAAAAAAAAACGAGACATACCTAGGCATGGACTCGGAAACGGCCCGGGTAGCTACCGGGTTGGGTCCGGGCTGGGTCGGGCCGTGTACATTTTTTTCCTTTTTCTAATTACTTCCTACCTCCAAACCTCTCCAAAACACCCGGCCCAACCCATTTACCTCCCAAAGAATTTGAAAAACAAAAAAAGGAATTGGTCCGGACCGGGCCCGGTCCGACCAGGTCCGGTGTGACCGACCATCGGGTCGGTTCATTTTTTGAGATCCGTAGCCCGTCCCGTAAAAATACGGTCTGGGTTGGCCCGGACCCGGCCGGGCCGGTTTAGGAGTGGACTCGGGCCGGGAAAACCAGCCCGGAATCGGACCGGCCGCTACTGTGCGGGCCCGGACCGGCCCGGTGAACCGGTTGGTGTCGGTTCAGGCCACCCGGCCCGGTGTGGTAGGCGGTTCGAGCCCGGGCCTGCTAAATAGTGAACTGGCCCGGCCGGTTCGGGCACGGTCCGGGCCAATTTATTTTTTCTTCTTTTTTTTGAATTTTTTAAGTTTTTGGGTTGGGTTGGGTATGATGGGCCATTTGAGGTGGTTTGGGGGTGAGGGGGGAGGGTTGGGGTTAATTAGGAAAAGCCAAAAAAAAATTACATGAACCGAGGCCCGGCCCGGTTCCGGGCCTCCCCTTTCATGAACTGAGGCCCGGCCGGGCCCAGGCCCGAACCAGAACCGATCCACCCCTAGGCCGGTTGACCCGGCCCGAGTCCATCCCTAGACATACCTCATATTTTCTTCTAAAGTTAGGGAAGGCAATTTCCGTATTTTTCAAAAAGAGAATACATACACGGTGCTACATTACTTTGAGCGTGTTAATGCTTCTAAGTTCTAACAAGTGTTCAGATTCGGATATTGGAAACAAAAAACTGTAGAACTTAGAAACCGGAAAAAAATAGAAAATCGGAGAAATAAGTAAATAGACCACAATTTTTCAAACATAAATCATCCCTAGACAAGTGTGTAGTATATATATTCTCATAGCTCTAATATTAAAACAGAGGGTGTAGCCAGGAGGTGTCTCAGAACCAGACAACCACCAGACATATATGGTTGCCGGCGATCGGCGTACTGCTACTTAACCACTAGCTGCCGTAAACAACCACAGCCCAAGGGGAAACGTGCTTGTCTTCTTCAAGCCTTAGGTGTGTTGCTTGGGCTGCTTTTCCTTTTTAATAAGGGTAGTTTAGATTTAGATATTTGAGCCATTTTTATTTATTTAAGTGGATTTGAAGAGCAATTTGATGGCTCTGAATAGAACTACACTTCTGAAGAATTATGAAATAGAAACACAGATTCACAACTAGGAAGCATTTGTCTTATTCTTTTGAGAAGAATACGTAGCCAACAACGGCATTAAAATGCTTTGGGAGTCATGTCCCGTGGCGGACATGCTATTGTTCAAGGGTGTTCGCGAACATCCAAAATTTTGAAAATAAGATGTAAAAATACATGTATAGAATTGATATAATAATTTGTATAGTGTAGTTTTTATACGATGTTTGTTACCCTTAACCTTTTTTCCTATTTTTTTGTGGTTGAAAAAACTACATTCCTTCAATTATGGTATCGAAAAAACATTATTGTTCAATATTTTTAACCATAATTTTTTTTTGAATACCCACTTTCCGGTTGCAAGATCCGCCACTGGTCATGTCATAGAGCTCATTTGGTAACACTGAAATTAGTTGAATGGTTGATTTTGTCGAAATTTATAAAGATTTGTTTTCAGTGGTTGTATTGGATGATTCTGCTAATTTATGAAAAAACTATGTTTAAAATATATTTTATTTATAAAATATAATCATATTTAAATAAAAATAGCTAAAATGACCTTCTACAGTAACTTCAACCAATTCAATCAGAAAACAACTTCAACCTCACTTATTTTGATTATTACATAATTCAGCGCGCGAAATCAAAAGTTACTTATAAGATAAAAAAGTTGACCGATAAGGCTGATAAGCTGAAAAACATGATCACCAAACGAGCTCTTAGTTGTCTCAAGGTAGTTATGACCTAACTTATTGTATATAATTTTCAAGACAAAGGGTCAAAAAATAAGCCCTTTTACTATTTCCGAATCATCACTTAGGCCTATGTATTAAAAAAAGTATCATATAAGTACGTTGACTTTCAAATTTTGCTCAATTTGGTCTTTCATTCAGTTTTTGACCTGTAATAGCATATTTTTATATTGAAAAAACTCTAAAAATTGTTAAAATTTGAAATTATTTGCTTATTCTACATCTATTTCAATATTTTGATTTTTTATTTTTTATTTTTTATTTTGACGTTTTGAATATCGCCACACAAGCTAGCGGCATCACTCAAAAGATTCAAATCATACAACCTAGAGGGGACTATGTATCGGTCCTACATTGAGAAGGCAATCAAATTTCATAATAAGTACAACATGTCCATATGAGCTTCGGTTGGTAAAAAACCTTTAATTGCTTATGTGGTATTTTTTTCACTTACCTTTTCTCTCTGCACTTCTCTATTTTCAATCTTGTAACTTTCATCAATTATTTTTAATAAATTAGAAAAGTATTCCCCGGGAAAAAATACATATATTCTATTTTTATATTAATATTATATTATTTTTCAAATTTATATGAACTTTTATAAGTTTTACCAATAGTCTAAATATTGCTTTAAGAAAATAACCTGCTATATCAATTCAAAATGGTTTGATTGATTGCATACAAAAAGTATGCATACCTATATGATGATGCTTTTAGTAGAAAAACTTAAGTGATGGATTACAAATAATAGAAGGATTTATTAGACCTTTTCCCCTAATTTTTATAACTAATCTTGATTGACATCCATGACAATTCCAAATGTGAAAGGGTGTCATTGTCAATCCTTGATGTGGCCATATAAGGACCTAGTTGAATGGGCCAGAATTTACAAGCCCAAACTTGCATAATTTTTGCATATTACTTGTTGAGCTCCAAGTAGGAATTTTGAGTAAGGAACATAACGAAGGTATTAAAACGTTTACGGTATTTTGTGTGGTGAGCGTCTTGTCTTTAGTACATGGGCATCGTACAAATGAACTTTGATGGCTTGTTATAGACGTTATAAAATGTAACCGCTAAAGGATTGTTACAGCTCGATCATTAATCATTACATTAACTACTTCATTAATTGCTCCCTCGCAAAGCTAGCAGGTCGGCCGAGCTATCAGGCTGACTATCCAATTATTAGGCATGAGAAATATTTTATGAACTAATTGAGGAGTAATGTTAATTGTTACTTTGAAATATAGTATGTCTCATGCCTTTATCAAGCAATAAAAAATTGACTTGAGATAGAGAAATGCCGGCCTATTTAGGATATATGCCACAATCATACCCCCTTTGTAAGCAACTTTTTTTTCTTTGGAGAGTGGGAGGTGGTCCTCTTTGTGACTACAAAAGTGCACAATAATGCGAATGGGTGGATGCTCTCACAGAAGGTGGACCACCAGTGAACTTTAAAATGAGATCCAACCTAGCTCAACCAGTAGCAAGGGAGTGACACAAGGGTTAGATCCCGGGTTCGAATCCCGACAACTGTGATGAGGGATTACTATGCTAAAAAGAATAAGGGACTCTGCAAGTACCGAGAACATAGCCTCACTCTCTATCTGTCAGATTGGGATTATAGTCCAATTTACATCCTCCTAACATACCGTCCGATCAGGATTGGGGGGCCCTCAGGGATGGGGTGTCATCCTTTTTTTAAAAATGGGATCCACCACCATAGATAGAAGAATAATAAGACCTAATTTATTTCACCATTTCTATATATGGGCCAAGTCACGAGAGCCACTACATGCCAAAGCACTGTTTCTTGAAAAATTCTTGTTATACATGTCCCATGTGTGCATGCCCCTATACAGGTCTAATTTTTAAGATATCTATGTCATAGACATTTTTTTATGCCATTTTTAAGATGAATTATTATTTTTGTTGATATCGTAAGCAAGACAAAAGTTACCGGGGGCGTAGCTGTAGAAAGGGAGTGCCACAAGGGAGAGATCTCGGGTTCAACTCCAAGCAAAGACTTGGTATGGAGTCACACTCTCTTTACATTAGTGTGAAAGCAAAACTCAATTTACATTCTCCCAAATAGTTGTCCGGTCCGTTTTGGAGAGCCCTTAAGAATGGGTGTCTCTTTTAGAAATGAAAAAAGTTGTTTGTGACGGAGACAAATTGGGCTTGTACACAAAGTAGCTTTGGTGTTTCTTTTACCCCGTGTGTCTTTATGTGATTTATTATAGAGTGACTTATGCACTAGGTCCTTTGCTGTGATTTGCATATACTTTTTTTTGGGTAAATATACTTAATTGTTCTTGGCAACTATAACTTGTTTGAGTATAAGACACAATGGGGTGAAAATCTAGCAACCCTTGTCTCGGAGTTCCAATCGGCCAATCTCACTGGCTAGCACTTCTCCATTGTATTTGGGATTGTAACCCGCACGGGTAGCTCAGTTAGTCGAGTGGTGGGAAATTTGGAACAATGGATCAAGGTTCGAATCCCCGCAGCGACCGGGTGGAGGTCACAGAACCTGAAATAAGGCTGGGCCTCTGGTGCGCACGGGTGTATGGGCCTACTACCATTCTGCAGACTGAGTCACCGTGACTAACCTCCCCACCATCCTGTCGGGTCGGGGTGGGGGGGCTCCTGGGGTGGGAGATTCCACCTTTTGGAACAATGTATTTGGGATTGTACGAAAACTTTTCTTGGGTCACATGATCACATCTTCTTCCAATTAGGATTTAGCTTTTCTGTGACTTTTTATTAATTTATAACTTATTAGTCTTACAAAAAAACTCTTTAAATCTAACACGAACTGTTTAGTACTATCTATGGTTGGACTCGGGTCGGGCCACCCGGCCCGTGGACCGGCCCGGCCCGCTACTGTGCGGGACCGGGACCGGCCCGGTTCTCGGGTCCGGGTCCGGGTCGGGCCTAGGCCCGGGGGGTAGGGCGGGTCCGGGCTCGGGTCTCAAATTTGGTGAACCGGCCCGGGCCAAATTGATTTTTTTTAATTTTTTTTTCATTTTTGGGGTTCCACCCGGGTTGGGCTTGATGGGTAGGATGAGTTTGGGGGGGTTTGGGAGGGTGGGGTGAGGAGGGGGGGGGGGTTAGGAAAGCAAAAAAAAAAAAAAACGGAGGCCCGGGCCAGTCCCGGGTCCACCATTCCTGAACCGCCGGCCCGCCCGGGCCTAGGCCGGACCCGGTCCGGACCCGAGTCCATCCCTAGTACTATCTTTGTCCTACTATGATTGTGACATAAGATAGACTTCGAGTAAACGTAACAAATAAAAATCCTAATCGAAAGTTAACACCGTTACCATTCTGATTATTTTTGTGAAACAATTAACTAGTACGGAGTAGAAATTATTGGTGTGAACTTTTCAAGTAGGGATTATTATTGTAAAATATGTAAAAGTAGGGATTATTGGTGTCAATTTCACCAATAAAATAAGAATGAATTAGGATAACACATACTTCGTATATAACCAAATGAAATGTGAAAAAATTAATGGGACAAGTGAAAAATGAAAATGAAACAAAGATTGAAAAATGGAAAAAGGATAATGTCGTACAGAGAAAATATTTGATCAAACATGAATCAAAGAATGATTGAAAGAGAGAAGTGGGAACGAATTCACTTTTTTTAGACTTAGAAGAAACGTGTTAACTATAACTACTCATTTAGAGTAGTTAAGCACATAAACGTTACTTCTTTTGGAAGAAACTAGTTGACTCAAACTTCTCATTTGAGCTTCTCATTTGAGTGCTTGAGTACACAAAGGTTACTTCTTTTAGAATAAGTTAGGGACACATTAACACAATATCACAAACATACATCATTATAAACCATTTTAGTTCACAGACAAATCATAACTCAAATATATCATGTAGCTGTACTACATCAGGTTTCTCATTCACCATCACTAAATAACTTCTACTTAAGCATGGGACCGGGGTTTTAGGCTTCAACCAACAAGGAATAACATGTAACAACTCGTGATTACTTAGAGGCAAGACATGCTTAAATAAGAATCTATATTACACAACCAAATGTAAATATTATCCATCATTAAATAGAGATACATAAACGTAAATAGGAACTACGATTTTTGGCTTCTACCAATACACTTGCAAACATTTATCAATATATAAGCATTCATAATAACACTTCTCGCGAAATGCAAATATACAGTCACAACACTACTATGAAGACAGATAAATAACTTATACCTTAAAAGCTCAAAGTACTAAATTTTCATATTTCAAGATATGCACACTTTTGATATTAATATTTATTAACCATATTGATATATATAATTACAGATTTTTCTAAAGGAAAAATGTGCGTGTATAAATAAATACATGTACTACTATAAACAAACATATGACTCTGTAATAGTGTTATATGAAAACGACCAAAAAGAATGAAATGTGTCTAACTCCGTTGACTATCGGAGTTATAAAGAAGAAGGGGCAGCCCTATACATTATGATTATTGGAGTTGACTAATTTTTCTTCTTCGCTTGACAGATCAGTGGTGGAGAGCTGAATGTTTGATTTGTTTGTCATTTTATTCCACTCATTTTCCACACGGAAGAAGGCCCACTGGAAGCGCCGGAAAATCTCCAAGGCTGTAATTGTGAATAATGTTATGTAATTGTGGCGGAGATGGGCAGATAGCTTGTATGTCCATGTGCATCGTAGTATCAGGTTGCTCCCAATTACCCATACATAGACCTGCAATGTCCCAAGTTGGGGTGGAGGTGGGGGAATCCACAAATCAAGACTATGTTTGGAACAGGGAAATGCTAGGCAAAAATATACTGAAGGAAACATGGTTTCTTTTTGTGCGTGTTTAAACCATCTTTTTCAATTTCCCCTCAATTTTCTTTCCTTCCAAGTTTTCCCAATATTTCATTTCCCTCTCAATTTCCGGATTCCAAACGGGCACCAAGGTTAAGTATGGTTCAATGAGAAAGGGGATGGGAGCTACCCTCCAATTTGGGGAAAGGAAAACAGGGGAAGGGAGAGAAACCAAGAATAGTTTTTAGCTCTCCTCACCTCCGAATTTCTTAACCAAACTAGGAAATGGGGGAAAGTTCCCTCCCAAAGCACTTCTCATTCGTTGGTTATTAGTGGCCTCCCAAAAACGTCCAGGTAGAGATATGACTTTCAAATTAAGTTCCGAATTGGTCAATGCTGCCAAAGGGAGTGACGATGCCACACAAAAAGGAAGAAACTCATTGAATGGCAGAGTCAAATAGAGCTTTTGCGCATCTCGATTGGAACAGAAACAAGAGAAAAAGTACCTCCCCTCCCCTCCAAAAATGTGAACCGAACATAGCATAAATGAAGGCAGCGGTTAAATTGGTAGATAGAAACTAGACTAATACTGAGGCAAAAGATAAATTTCCCAAATTATTGTCTGCTCAACAAAGAGAACAATAATTTCCTGCAACCATTATAATCAATTTAGAAATCACTGATGAAAGTAAGACAGTCTTACCCATTTCCGTCCATATAACACGTGTGATAAAAAATGAGGCTTGTTGAACTTGAAAATTCGAGTAAAGCAACTGGCAGAAAAGAAAATGATTCTTGTTATATTTTTAATTATGTCACAGATTAGTCATACACAATATATTTAAACAGTCCTGTCACCTGTGAATGTATGAACAAAACTAGAACAAAAAAATTACTCCACAAATTTTAACACAGTAATGCAAGCCTCAAATAAAGGAACATATCAGTGTTAAGAACCAAGAAGTACTAGAAGAGTTAGCAAAAGAAGATACTGTGTACCCGAGGTCCCAATCTCTGTTCAGATCCCAATAGAATGAGTAAAGTGAATTCAAAACGCTGGAGAGAAGCCACAAAGGACGATAGAAGTTATCCCAGTTTTGAGAGAAGACGTGATACTTAAGGGCGGATAGAAATATCACAGGTACCGCAGTTGAATACTTTAATGCTGAAACCATATGTCAAACAATATAATATTAGTGTCACATTTATTGTCAAATGTAGAGTGTGCACCCAACTGAGATTCAAATCAAAGAAAACTTAAAGGAAAACTAAGCTAACAAAATTATTCATCTTAGCTATAGGCAAGGCAGCTGAAGTATCAAATATCAAAGTGCAGATGGATTAAAAGGTAGCTGAAGTATCAAGTATCAAATATTCCTTTCCGATGTATAAAAAAATCAAGTATCAAATATTCATCTTATCAAATATAAAAATGGTCATCTAAGCAATAGGCAAGGGCACAAGGCAGCTGAAGGCAGCTGAAGTATTAAAAGGTAGGCTGCAGGCATATACCATTAAGTAAAGTGTTCTTCTCTTTAGTATCGTTATATTGCCGAAGACATTGAAAGAGTCGGAAGAAATATGGCAACACAAGAACTATAGGAATTGCAACAGAGTGACTCCCACAAACAGAATCAGCTTCAAACCATGCAATGGTGGCTACCTAAACATGTTACGGTACTTGTATGTTTTAGCTACTAGTAGTAAGACCTGAATATAAGATGGAATCATGGTAATAAAATAATAATAAAAAGCAAACCTGGCGATGAACCATTCGACAAACTGAACGCTCCAAATCTGAAAATACCTGCAAGAAATTGTTACGGATGCATTTTTAGGGATTTCTTTATTGTAGGAGGAAATATAGGGGCCAGCGAGAAAACTTAATTCAAAGAGGAGTCCAGCTTGATGTTATCTTCATATTTAATTTAGAGTTTTAGTTAGAACAGGACCTAATCATGTAAAGGCAGAATGCCTATTTATAATTCTTTTCAGGAATAATAAACATCATTGATCAATAGAAAATTAGTCTCCAAAAGTAACAGGCTTCCCTGGACTCTTCCAGCCACGGGCAAGAAGAGAGGAAACCCTAGCCGGCAGGTTTCAACCTTACCTGGGCACCCTGCTACCCCAAGCCGTCCCTGGACCCGTTCTCAGTCCCAGTTTGCTAACTATTTGGTATTAGAGCCATCAAGATCCATGGTGCCACCGCAAGATGATTTAGCCACTATGATGAAGGAGTTTATGGAGGCTATGACTGCTAGGACAACCGCCACAGAAGGGCAGATTGCCGCTCTATCTCAGGCAGTCCACAAACGGGATTCGAAATCAACAGAAACACATGAAGACCAAGCCGATAAAAGCATGATATCACACAGCACCTCGAATCTCTGGAAGCCACAATATGCGAAGATAGAATTTCCCGTGTTTTGATGGCACCTATGACCCTACCAGTTGGTTGAAAAGGTGCGAAAAATTCTTCTTGAACCAAGAAACACCTAGTGTTGCAAAGATGAATATGGTCTCATTCCACTTGATAGACGATGCGCAACTGTGGTTCAGATGATAGAGGAAGAAGGAGAAGTCAACTGGGAGATGTTTAAAGAACCCTGTCTGGAGCGCTTTGGGGCCCCTTTGAGTTCTAAGTTCTAACCCAATTGGAGATCTGAAACTTCTGATGTAGATCGGGTTAGCTGATGAGTATTGTGCCCAATTTCAGAAGGCCTTAGCAAGAACTTCAAAAATACAGTCCACCCATCAGATTGCTTTGTTTGTAGCTGGTCTCCATCCACACTTATGGGCTATGTGGAGATAGCAAAACCAGGCAACCTGGGTTATGCAATGAAAATTGCAAGGACATTGGAAGCAAGGCAACTGGCAAGCACTGACACTTGCACCTGTCAAAGTCTCAGGTACTGCAAAAGATATGAAAAAACGCAGCCCACCACAGCTTAGACAAGCGCTCATGACAACAAGGGCAGGAAATTCAATTGTTAAGTGACTCGGGAAGGATGAAATGGCAGAAAGACGAGCAAAAGGGCTATGTTATAATTGTGATGAACAATGGATGATGAATCACTGATGTAAAAAGCTTTCTGTGATCGAGATAGAAGATGAGGAGGAACAAGATGGCTTCTCAGACTTGGAGTTGTCTGCCAACGCTATAAGTGGAACTATTAGTTCAATGGCCCCATACCAGATTAGGGGTGTAAACGAGCCGAGCCGAGCCCGAACTCATATATGCTCGAACTCGAGCTCGAAAATTTTTTATATGCTCGAGTTCGGCTCGAGCTCGATCGAGCTTAAAAAATTGAAACTCGAGTTCAACTCGAAAGCTTTACTTGAGCTCACGAGCCGCTCGAGATTGACTCGAAACTCGAAAGCTTAGCCATTTTATTAAGCTTTGATGGCATGCTGCTCGGTTGGTTCACAATTATTGGGATGGATATGAGCTACTTTATAGGTGACTGGTAGAGGAAACTACTCCTCACTTTCCGGTGTGGGAAGCATAGAAATTAGAAACTAAAAACAAGTTTGAGTGTTGAAATCCGAAGGAGTACACAAAAGAAAACCTTGGAGGGGATTCGAACCTGGGCTGATTACGAATCCTAAGAGGGCAATTCCAGCCCGTCTACCAACCTGTTTGTGTAAATTTTGATGTCAAATTGTTTTATTCTTATTCCCAGTGAACTAACGAAAAAACTAATACTTTTTTTATTTTTACGAATAAACTAATACTTACTTCGTGTTATAGGTGTAGTATTATAATTATTATAGATAATGATTATAATAATATATAATGCTATATTTTATTATGTCTATTAAAATATATGTAGTAATAAGTATTAAAAATAGAGTAATTCTAAATAGAATAACTATTTCAAAAATATTATATATATAATTATTATACAACATGTAGGCTCACGAACCGGCTCGCGAGCCACGAGCCTAAAATTAAGAGGCTTGACTCGAGCTTGTTTAGTATACGAGTCGAGCCGAACTCGAGCCGAACTTGAATATGACCGAACTCGAGTCGAGCTTTTACCGAGCGACCCACGAGCGGCTCGCGAACGGCTTGGCTCGTTTGCACCCCTATACCAGATACAGTCTGTATATCGTGGGAGCAGCCCACGGTGAGCATGGTGCTCCCACATGCAAAAACGAGTGTTACTGTTCACGCGGGTGAACAGTAACCTTTTTTTTTTTGCCTTTTCATTGTCCAGTAGCAATGTGATGTAACTTGCGTGTAAAAAAATGTAATCCACGCTAATAAAAAATGAAACTGCAGACAAGTCAAAATGTAATTTGTCTAATACAGATTATAAAAAATAAAACATTGATTTCTATGAAACCAAGGAATCTAATTGCTTAATTACTTTACTTAAATAGTGAATATATTTTGTTTTTAATATTAAACTCATAAATAATGTTTTTTTTTCTTAAAATCTTTTTTTTTTGACAAAAAACATTTTTTTCTCCAAAAAAAATCAGTTTTTTTTGCAAAAAAGTGATTTATTTGTTTCAATAGCAGGGGTTTACTTAAAAACTGAACATGTTCTATTTTTAATATTGAAGTCATAAATTTTTTTTAAACCACTTTTTTGCCAAAGAAACATTTTTTTGCCAAAAAAATATTATTATTTTTTGCTTAAAACGATTCTTTTGTTCAATAGAAGGGCTCGTTGATGGAAAATCTAACTTAAGTATATGCGAAATATGACTTGTTAAGGAAAGTCTAAATGCAACTCGCGTATGGGAAGATGTAACTCACGCATAAACAAGATGTAACTCGCGTATAAGAAGATGTAACTTCATATACTATCAAATGTAAACAATGAAAACAAAGAGTCTAATTGTTCAAATTAATTTACGTAAGTAGTTAATATGTTTTGTTTTTAGTATTAAGGCAATAAAACTTTTTCAAAGAAAAAAAATTCCAAAAAAATAATTTGTTTAGCCAAAAAAACATTTTTTTTTGCAAAAAATTGATTTTTTTTGTTTCAATAGCTGGAGTTTTTTTATGATGTAACTCGTGTTATGAAAAAATGTAACTCACGTTGATGGCAAATCTAACTTAGGTGTATGCAAAATGTAATTTGTTGAGGTAAGTCCAAATGTAACTCGCGCACAGGAAGATAAGATGTAACTCATTCACAAGAAGATGTAACTTTCCCATAAGAAGATGTAACTCCATATACTATCAATTATGTAACTCCAGAAATTGTTTATAAACAAAATTTACACACATGAAAAATGTAATCTCATGTTTTATCAAATTTAAATCGAAATAAACAAACTTAATGTCTTAGAAACTCTAAAAACATATAAAAGAGATAAGAAATTAATTATAAAAAAGTGTATGAATATGAAAAATATATTATAAAAAGTGTATAAATATAAAAAATATATATTTTGAAGAAAAAATAAATAATTTTTAGTTGTAATTTTAGTTGAATAATAGAAAAAGAAAAAAAAGTGTATCATAAGGACTAAGAGAGAAAGAAAAAGTAATTATTTTATTTTGAAAGGATGAAAACTTGATCACAAAATTTTATTCGTACATCCCAGTGTTCTTAAATTAAAAAAAACATTTGGAAACTTTAAAAGTAAAAATAAAAAAAGAAAAAAGAGACGTGGGTGTGGGGAAGACATTCAAGTGTGCAAGTTAGTGGAGAGACTAAGAGACACGTGACCAACAAACCATTGCACAAATAGCATGGAACGTATGTAATGTTTCTTAAAAAACGGTACCGTATTGGGATCGGTATACCATGCGCATGGTATACCGATCCCACGGTATAATTTGCCTACCAGATAAGGCCACGTGGGAGCCGTTGAGACTTTTTTCGCTGCTTATCCAGGTTATGAGCTTGGGGACAAGCTCAGTGTCGAGAGAGAGTGATGTTACAGGTGCATTTTTAAAGATTTCTTTATCGTAGGAGGAAATATAGGGGCCGGCGAGAAAACTTAATTATAAGAGGAGTCCGGCTTGATGTTATCTTTATATTTAATTTAGAGTTTTAGTTAGAATAGGACTTAATCATGTAAAGGCAGAATGCCTATTTATAATTCTTTTCAGGAATAATAAACATCATTGATTGATAGAAAACTAGTCTCCAGAAGTCATGGACTTTCCTGCACTCTTCCAGCCACGGGCAAGAAGAGAGGAAACCCTAGCCAGCAGGTTTCGACCTTACCTGAGCACCCTGCCACCCCAAGCCATACCTGGGCACCCTACCACCCCAAGCCATACCTGAACCCGTTCTCAGTCCCAGTTTGCTAACAGATATTTACTGCATATTATACATGCAAATATGCAATGGCTATCTACATCCCCGAGTCAAAGTGGAAAACCTAAAAGCTCCTTTGAAGTCCAGAAGATGCTAGTGAAAGAAAACTTGGTGGAAAACAAAGGGTGCACAATAACTCAATAAATTTATTTTAGATAGTTTTTCAAACCCGTTTTATATATTTTAAATATATAAAGACTAAGAAATCTAACTATACAATCTCTTAATTAAAAAAGTGATCGTATTTCATTTTCTTTGTATTTTACAAGGAAAACTATGGTAAGCGAAAACGGGGAGGGGGTGGTCAACCCAAGTGGGAGAAAAAATAGGAGAAGAGCAGGTTCTCAGCTGAGGAGTGAGTTAAGGCAGTGTGAACTCAACATGCTAAGTGTTAGAAACATAATGAGTTCAAACAAAGTGATTCTACATATTAAAAGTTTTTCTCAAAATATGAACTTGAATAGTTGTATGGGACAAGAGCATTTATCACATCATAGAAACTGGGTTCGGGCTAGCCTAACCCACAAACTTTTTGAAGAGAGAATAAATCAGTCAGCATTTAGTTCTATTGATGGTCTGGTGGGACTATGGAACACAACATGAGCCAGTGGGTTTGTCCCATGAAATTTCATAAACAAACATGCCAATATATGTGCATACCTTTGACATGGACGTAAATATATCAGCCAAAAAAAAGTCAGGAAAAGTAATTCCCTGCAATCATAGAATAACAGTTAAATAAAAAACATATTTGTTTTCAGTGAGAATGTGTTGTATGTCTGAAACTTCAAGCAATAGAACCATGACCAAAAGCTAGGCTCAACACAAGAAAACCAGAAAATTTTGCTGATATATAAAAATGCAACACAAACTTGCCTGTAGTGGGAAAACAATCCTCCAAGAGGTCCTCAGGAAAAAGAAACGAGTTGATAAATAAAAAATATCAAAGGGAGATATCAGTGCCATTGCAAGAGCAGCATATAAGAGCACCTGGACTTGCATATGGTCAAAGTTAGTATAATGTATCGAAAAATTATTAACAAAGCAAATAGATGGTTGGTGAAAACTGAAAAGCCTTGTTTTCCATTATGTAATTCAATATTTATGAGAAAATCTAATGTTAAATTCACAAACTCAAATAGTAAAAAACAATAGGGAATTTACTATGATCTCTAAAGAATAAAAGGTGTACTCAACGTCTCAACAGCACAGCATATATACGAAAAGAGAATAGAAATGCATTCAAAGAGGAAGCATCTATTACACTGGTTGTGAGGCAGCCAAAGACACTTCTCCGTGCGAATAAAGATATAGATAGGCGGTCATGCTAGTAGGGACAATTATCGTCATCCAGGTAGCACACTGCAATATGAAGTGAAGGCAAACAAGTCATTGTACAGATACGTGTAGATGTTCATAGTTCACTTGGGACTGATTAAACATATTACCCTCCAAATTTCTCTGTGAGTGAGATGATTCTGATCGAGGTCAAAGATCTTAGCATAGTTAACACTAGACTGCATAAATACCCATAAGTTCACACCCCAAAACCAAACCATCATAGTCTGCAATAACAAAAAGAGAGAAACTGAGGAAACAATCTTAAGTTCACACTCGTACTGAAAGCAACAAAGAATATAACTTGTAACATCCTTAATAAAACTGAAACCAAACTTACCACTAGGAGTAGAGGATTGTAATACAGAAAAGCCTCATATAAAAATAAATCCCTCAAGTTTGCACTCATTCTCATAACTGAATCCCAGCTAATCTGTTAATTATACTCATGTATCAGCTTAAAGAAGGTATAGAAAATAATAATCCCATAAATTGATATATTGATATGTTATCATATTGTGTGAACAAGCCAGAAGAATAAAATTTACACCGACCTTGCAACAAGCCAACCCCCACATGAAAAAAAGAAGTACCTGAAAAATTGTTAGGCACTTTAAAAAAATACTCCATATAAGATTTAAGTGAAACGGTACCATAACCAGCATGGTATGCAACTATGCTTACATGGAACAACAGAAATAGCATGGAAAGAGGAACAAGATAACCAGTGTCATTCAAGAATACCCTCTCCAGAAACACTGAGATACTAACTCCGATGTCAATTCAATGTCTTAGGTAAATATTATCCTCCGTATCGCATTAGTTGCAACATTGGAGTATTTACACTATTTCTGTACTTTACTTTGACTTCATTTTATTTATTAATGTATGGGAATTAATTTTCTTTGAAAAATATTTTTAAATTCATCTCACTACTAAGTTTTATAATCTGATTTTTATTTTATTTTTACTAATACGAAATTAAATATAATGATGGTCAAAGTCGTGCGTTGGCAAATGTGAAAAAAGGAATGTTGCAACTAAGAAAGAACGGAGGTGGTAGTAAATAGCCAATTACAAAACATAATTCTATTTCATATCCGTCTTACACAATTAGTCCACACTAACTTTATTATTTTATATGCACAAACCTTGTAAACTGAAATAATGTACACTGAAAACATTGTCAATCAATTCCTTTTGACTGTTATGGAAAGATGCTGTTGTAGGTGAATGGATGATACCAAAATTGTAAGAGGCAACTAAGATGGAATGAACACCTTAAATCTCCAAAGCAAGACTGGAGATGGCAATATTGCCTTGCTGGCCAATGGAGTGCTGACACCCTTCATTTCATTCACCTCAGTTGCATGCAGAAAATCTTCAGCACCACTTCCCGACTCAACAATACCTACCAGTTTATTATCAGCTATTGTGAGCACATATTCTTTAACCACTTAAAAGAAAAGAGACTGTAATCAATCGATGGATTTACTGATACTCAAAGATAAAATCATCTCTTACCAATGTCAGAAACAACTACTCGGCTTCCAGACTTCCGTAGATGCGGACAGTTTGCATTAGCACTCACAAGGCCTCCAAACATAGATGGAGGACACAGAAGAAAAAATTGCAACCAGAATCTAAGTGAATGTCCTTCCCTGCCCTAAACATACATCTAGGAGAAATAAATGGATATTTCAAACATAATGGCTAATGGAAATATGACAGAATACAATCAATTGGCAGGCACAGTGATAACAAGCAAATATTAAACTAAATATAGCACTACATAATTTAATTATTTTAAGAGATACACCTTGTTGAACCAGACAAACAACTCCAACTCACAAGGAGATAATAAACACAAAAGAAAAAAAAGTTGGTTGACGAATCGCTCTTATTCATTAATGAACGAATTGTTCATATTCATTAGTTACTACACATACGAGTTTATTCATTATAAACAAATTTAACAATTAATAAATGAATTGGTCTTAAAATACATCCCTGATTTATTGGCCATTTTCAATAGATTTTAAACCTCATGAATAGCCACGTTTAACTTTACATATTTCGAAAATTTAACTATTTCATTGAAAGTACATGGTGGTTGAGAGTAAAGTGGTGTTCCTTGAAAATTTACTAAGTGTGGGTTGGTTAGCCTATCTGGTAGTTTATGTCACGTGCAGTTATAGCTCCTTTGAAACAGTTTAACACAATATATCACAACTTTTTAAATCCATCTTGGGGTGATTGATAGTTTGATACTTGACAGATATTTCGTATATCCTTTCCAATGTTAGTTTGCTTATCATTTACTTTTTTGCAGTTTATTTGACCAATTAACAGTTAACACCATCAAGACTTCCTTCCTAAAACTATTGTTCCAATTTGAAAACTTTAATGTAAAGTTAAAAATCCAAAGTCAAATGACTGCGTGTTCGAAATGAACAACTTCAAAATCAGATCACCAATCCAAAATGGAACATGTATTTGATAAAGAGAATAAACTTGTTTACATTAGTGTGTAGAGTGATGAAACAAAACTATCCAAATATTGAAGGGTTGAAAAAATATGTTAATTTCCAAACGCCTTCAAACTTTTTTATTAAATAGAGGATTTAGAAAGTTTAAAAGATTGACAAATTAACATTTCCGTGCATGTTAATCGAGACCAGTAGTAAGGCTTACCAGGAATGTTCTCACAGGGAAACGGTCGGATGCTACCAAAGGCCGATTTCCGTTCACAGCTAGATCTCTTAAGAGAGGTGTTCTGGACGCTTGTTTTTAACCATTCTCGCTCAGGTTCGGCAGGGCAGCAGCAAGATCTGTTAAAAGAGAAGGATCCACTCTAACGTCATGAAACGGTTCTTTCAGACCAAATAACCACATTGTATTTCAGAAATTTCTTAAACATAAATATAATTGCATCCATAGATGTAAAAATTAATTTTCTACTATTAATGCTCTTAATCTAAATAATTAATTAATTTAGGATAGGACTTTACCCCAAAAATGTCATTTTTGTATAAAAATTATCGTTTTTTCTTTGGAAATACCATAAAAGTGACATTTTTAATGATTAAAAATGTCAAAAAAAATCCGAAAACTATTATCAAGATGGACATTTTGGACAAATATTGGCATTTTTCGATGGTCGGAAAAAGTTTATCTGACTCCTATAGCCTCCGCCACTCCGGTCGTCCAGACCACACGGGTCTTCTGACATCCTGTCGTAATAAATTGTCCTATGTCGTCCCTGACAATCCATGCACATGCATGAATACCTCTTCTTGTGTCAAGGGTCGCGTCAACGTTACTTTTTTCCGCTCCTTCCACGGGTTGTTGCCACTTAGCACGTCCCCCACCCCTCTCGCGTACCACCCTGGGGATCCTGGCTGCCCTCCAGTTTCTAAGCACGGCTGCCCCCATTTTCGCCGCCACCTAACTTCTTTATTTTTCCAAACCTTCTCATTCAGTGCTATCAAATACTCCATAAGCAACAAATAAATTGGCAAAGTTCCTCTTGTCGCAAATTTTCAAAAAAAGCTTTTAATCCATTCCTCAAACGTGGCGTCATGTCTCATAAATTTTACACCCAATTGTCTCTAGACCGAAATAGCTGTGGGGCATTCCTAAAACAAATGGTCCTCAAACTCATCCTCCGCATCACAGAAACCTACAGAGCACAACTGCACTAGAATATCTACCCTCCTACGACGTAAATTAATAGTTGTACGTAAAGCACTCACCGTGACTTGTCAGAAAAAACATTTTTATTTTTGGGGGAATTTCTAAATCCCACATTTTAGCCCATCCCATCCAGCCATTAACATCATCATACTCACCACGCAGAACTATATAACCACTTTTAACCGTGTAAGTACCTTTCGAGTCTTCAGCCCACCACCAATCATCCGTAAGCCTCCCTCTTTCTAATAGGGGTGGAGAGAATGGTCGTGTATTCATCTGTTGAGCATAGGTTTGCCACCTTTTGCACATTCCGACTATTTCCGGCCTCATTCAAAGGGGCTGCAACATCCATGTCTGCTATTCCAGCTGGCGGTGGAGTATGTATCATTCCGTCTCCGGTCCCGGCAGTTATTTCTCCCTCCAAACCGAGATTGATCGTGCATTACCCACCTTGTGGCGTGTTCCCCGTGCAACCATCTCCTGGGCCTGAAAGATGCTACTCCAAACTTTTTTTAGATGCTACTCCAAACAAAAGATGGGTTATTTCCCAATTTTGCTTCCAAAAAAGAGGAATGAGGAAAATTATTTGGCCTTAAATACCTTTCCAACCAAGGACTGGGGATTTTTAACAAGCCTCCAAGCTTGTTTTCCCAACATCGTCACATTGAACTCTCTCAACAATCTCTACCCCATACCCCCTTTTTGCTTAGGGGCTCAGAGGGATTGCCAACTTTTCCATCTAATACTTCCTTAGTTTGCTCAGTTCTCCTCCACCAATGCTCTTTTATAATAGTCTCAATTTCAGAACACATCTCCTTTGGTAGCAATAAGACATTCATGGCATAAGTTGGCATGACTTGGATCACTGTTTTGAGCATTATTTCTCTCCCTGTCTTAGACATAAATATGTTCTTCCAGCTATTAAGTCTTCACACAATTATTTCCTTCAAATATCCCAGGATTTCCTTTTTTACCCACTAGAGCAGGTAGACCGAGGATGAGATATTCTAGGTGCTCCTCTAGCTACTGCGATACAAAAGACGTTGCCCATCGTTTCCCGTTTTCAAATCATCGCACTGAGACCTTCAATAACAAGAATAAATAAATAAAGGGATAAGGGGTTCTATTTGGCGTTACCTTTCCGGCTGTTGGCACTATTTGGATCTCACGGCTTCTATTTGGCGCTCGGGAAAAGGGATACCCATCAAAGAGATTGGCGAGAAGAGGTATTTGTTTACTTTTTACCATATTGTTGATATGGAACGAGTTATAGGAGGCGGGCCGTTGTTGTACGAACAAAATTTGTTGGTGTTGAGGGCGCTGAAACCGGGGAATATTCCTCTCAGGGTTCCCCTAAATGAGGTTGAATGTTGGGTGCAGGTACATAACGTACCTTATGATTATATGAATCTAGGGGTGGCTAGGAGAGTTGGCAATTTCATTGGTAAATTTATTAGTTTTGACGAAAGTCAATTTGAAGAACGATGAAATTCTTACATGAGAATAAGGGTGTGTATGGAATACTATGGATGTAGGAAAAGCTTTGAAAGTGGGTACGACATTGAGGAAAGGGCGGGGTACAGGCCATAGGGTGGAGTTTAAATATGAAAAACCACCTAGTTTTTGCTTTGCCTGTGGTATTATTGGTCACGCATACAGGTTCTGTCCCTTGGCATATGACTGTGAAAACAAAGTTTTGACTAAACCCTTTGGAATTAGTCTCCGTGCTGGAGGGCGGGGGGAGCTCAACCGATGAGGGTTAATAAATGGCTAGTTACAGAAGGCTCTTCACGCGGAAGCGGATCAGGTAAGCAGGGCAAGCAAGAGAGTATTACAAGCACCAAAGATGAGGCAACTGCGTCGGAGGGGCAGCATGGGACAAGTACTGCGGTGGATGCTAGTACAAAGGGTGTAAAGGAGGGTGTAACGACAGCTATGGAAGGATTTACAGGTGAGCAGAAGCGTAGAAGAATGTGGGAGGAAAAGCAACATGAGGATGGCGAAGGAGGCAACATGGCATTGGATTTTTCAAAAAACGAAGAAGGGACGGGTCTTACACTCTAGACCCGCTGAGAGCCTTGAGGTTGCCCCCAAAATGTGGGAGGTCGGAGGATTTTTGTTCTAATCAGACTTTCGTTGTTAATTTCTACTTTTTGTTTTTATTTCTGTCAGACTCTTACATTTGGTTGGGGGGATGAGGGGTCTATTCTAACCGCGTTATGCTCATTTAGACCCATTATAGGATCAGCGAGCCATGTTGCTTTTTCTAGGGTGATTGGCTCTAAATTTGGTTCAAGGGTCGCTGGTTGGAAGTGTTCCTTTTATCTTCCTGTTCCCTTGCTGAATGTTTTGATATCAATTTAAGTTGCCTTGTTAAAAAAATATATGTTCATCTTGATCCAAATTAGAAAGTATTGTACTAATTAATGATTTAATACTCTGTATGGCAAGAATTAGTGACTGCACATGTACTAATCAGAATGACGTTGTTGAATTATTTATGATAGAGTATATCTAGAGAGAAGTGAGAGCTAGAGAGAGAAGTGCAATAATATGCTTCAATAGAATGATTTTGTAACCCCTATAACTACTCCCAAGGGGAGTATTTATAGAGAAAATACGGGCTGGGCTCCCAAGCCTTGGGCTTGGGAGGCCCATTTACAACTGGACCGCTACTGGGCCGAATACAAAGCCACTAATGGGCTGTACAAATGAGTAAGTGTAAAATCCGGTTCTGGGAGGTCTTCTGGCCGACGAGGGCGTGGCCGACGAGGGCACGGCCGACGAGGGCGCGGCCGACGAGGGCACCCGGGTTCCTTGGGCTCAGGACCATAATCTGAGTTGGCCCCTTTTCAGCCGACGGGGGCGTCTTGGCCGACGAGGGCGCCACTCTGTCTTGTTCTTTCTATTCTTCCGAGTATGTGGGTCCGGGGGCTCAGACCCATATACTCCATCAGGAGTCCCCCACTCTCTAAGCTGAGACGTAGACGAAGTGAAGGAGAGTAGATTCCCGTGCTTTAGTGCTTTTGGCCGATGCGGGCATCCCCGGGCCGTTAGCCGTTGCGGCGTTGGCGTTGTTTCCTCTTTGGTGATCCTGTTCTGTGCTTTGGCCGTTACCCGTTCCTCGTTGTGGGCGGGGAGGCCGTTGTTTCCTTAATGTGTTCTTTTGAGGATGATGAGTGTCTTGTTTCAATGTCGGCCGTTGAAGGCACGCTTTCCCTTTCCTGGACGTTGGTGGTTGAAGTTTATGTTTGGGCCGATGAGGCCGTTGAGGTTGTTTCTTGCTTTGAGGACGATGGCGTCCTTTCCTTTGGGTGGCCGATGAGGGTGCTCGCGCACTCCTTTTGGCCGTTGTTGATGATGTTATGTGCCTCTGGCCGACGAGGCGCCATTGTGATGCGTGGACGATGTGGCCATGCTTTGTGGTTACATTCATGTTCTTTGTATTGTTGCTTTTTGTTTTGCTGAGGCCGGTGTAGTCCCCCAGTCCCCCACTGCTTCAGGCCGAGGAGTGTGAGGGGTGAAGGAGTTGCTTGAGTCCCTGGCCGAAGCGGCCTCTCCGTAGTCCCCCTGAATCCAACTCTCATGGCGATTTTCTGGCCAAGGTAACTTTGTGGGAGAACCCTTGTGCGCAGATCGCTTGTAGAGAGTTATCATCAAAGGTCATGACGAGGAGCCGATGGCTTGTGGGCTCTTGGGTCCTTTGATCTTGTGGCCGTTACGTTCCTGGCCGTTGTCGTCTCCATATTGTTTGGCAGTTGTGATCTTGGCGAGCAAGTGGGACGTTGTGGGCGCTTGCTGGCATTTGTAAAGCCGGTGAGCGTGTGTAGGCCGTAGAGTCCGTCTTGCCGGTGGGCTGTTGATATTGAGTTTGGCCCGTTGGTGACGTGGTGGTCCCCCATTGGTGGCCGTTGGTGTGGCCATTGGGGGGGTGCCACGTGTAGTGACCGTTGGGTGGGGGGTTCTATAAATACCCCTCCCCCTCCGACGAGAAAACGTATTTGCATTCTGAATTTGTCGAAGTGCTGGCCGATTTTCTAGAGAGATAAACTCCCAAGCCTGTTCTTCGTGTTCTTCGTTGTTCAAGGTTAGTGTTCATCGCGATCTTCCTCACTTTTCATACTTTGCTTCCTAGGTTGTTGATCTAGTGTTAGGCGTTTGAACACCCTTAGATCTTATGTTAGTCTCCTTAGGCCCGT